AAGAAATAAGATCTCTACCTTACGTTAGGTACATAAATTAACTCAAAGTAAGCCATAGGTCTAACTGCCAAAACTGTAAAATTCTGAGATGGCATGGAAATAATTCTTTATGACCATGAATTAAACAGTGGTTTCTTTTATACCAAAAGCACAGGTAATAACTTCATGTGAATTTTTAAAACTTATATTCTTCAAGAAAGTGAAAAATCTATTTATGGAATAAGACAGAGTATTTGAAAAATCACTTATGTACAAAGTTACAACCATAATATGTAAAGAACTATTGCAGTTCATCAATAATTACTCCAGTGACAAAGTAGCAAAGGGATTGGGGCAATGGTGGTCCCAGCTGCTATGCCTAGTCAGGAGGTTTGGGATCTGGAGGATGGTGGTTCAAGGCCAGCTCAGATAGTAAATTTTGCTAGACTCTATCTCCAAAACAAGCAGTAAAAATCAGGACTGGAGGCTGGGCAATGGAGGCTCATGCCTGTAATTCTATCTACTCGGGAGGCTAAAATCTGAAGACTGCAGTCTGAAGCCAGCCCAGGCACAAAAATCCATGAAACTCTTATCCCCAATTAACCACTAAAAACCCATGAGTAGAGCTATAGCTCAAGTGGTAGAGCACTAGCCTTGAGGAAAACAAACAAACAAAATCTCATGGGCAGTATATACGTCCAGAGTTCAAGCCCCAGGATTGGCACCAAAAAGCAGGACTGGAGGTGTGACTCAAGTGGTAGAGCACCAAGCAAGCAAGCTCAGTGCCCTGAGTATAAACCCCAGTAGTAGCAAGGCTGCTGCCAGTTCTTGATTGTCTTTGAAGTTGCTACTGGCTATTTCTCTCCAGATTACACCAGTTCCACTTCTTACTTCAGGGCAGTTCCACTGGGGAAGGGGGTAAGTCACCTGAAACCATATAGAATTTAGTATTCAAGAATTTATCTTCAGCTCCAGTCCCAGGATTTAAGCCCAAACCTTTGGACTTTCAAGAAAATACCCTAAAATTTATTTTTCTATTCCTTAGATTAGAAATTCTAAGTTGAAAAACTTAGCCAAAGAAAATAAACCACCTGGCCAGGCAGGTCCTGGTGGCTCACGCCTGTCATCCTAGCTACTCAGGAGGTTGAGATCTGAGGATCATGGTTTGAAGTCAGCCAGGACAGGAAAGTCCATGAAACTCTTATCAGGACAGGAAAGTCCATGAAACTCTTATCTCCAATAAACCACTAGAAAACCGGAACTGGTGCTGTGGCTCTAGTGGTAGAGCACTAACCTTGAGCTGAAGAGCTGAGGGACAGCTCCCAAGTCCAGAGTTCAAGCCTCATGATTGATGGGAGGGTGGGGGAAGGGGGTGGTGGGGAGAAAGAAAGAAGAGAGGAAATCACCTGCATGTGTAGCAGGGGATGAACTCAGGAATTTCAGGCCCCAAAGTGACTCATGGGGCTTTATTTATAATGGTCAAAAATGGGAAAGAACCACAGTAGAGCATGCCCATTTAAAGAATTTAATAACTGAGAAAATACTTGCATGATAATATGAAGTATTAAAGGTAGATTATAAGCTACAAGCTGGTGGGTGTGTTATAAACAGATCACTTACCTGTAGACTATACACTGGGCCAAATACTGTAACAAAACCACACCAGAAAGGTATCAGGGGATTTCTTTGGGGAGGAGGGAGGGGACTCTGGGTCTTCCTTTACCTTTGGTCCTGACCCTTAGCTTCACCTCCACCTGCAAGGAGCAGCCCTTGGTGGCTACTACCTCTGGCCAATCAGGCAGCTCCAGAAATCCCACCCCCAGGAAGCCTGTCCTAACTACCAGGAAGGAGGAAGTCTTGCTCATTCTCAGAGGACACAGTGCTCCCACATCTCTCCTTGTTGTTCTTTGTGTCTGTGAAAATATCCTCCCTTTGCTGGGGCTTGACCTCAAAGGAGGCTTCCTGATGTGGCCCTGTGTGATTCTCTACGTGGTCTCTGAGTCTAAACTTCCGGGGGAGGTTGGAGTGTGGGGTCCCCACATCTCAGTACTCTTGGTTGAGGATGGTGATGGCTTTTCAGTCTACACATGCTGCTTTGCAACAAGGAAAACTGCATTTGGCCCCTTAAAAAAAGAAGGGATCAGCTGGGCGCCAGTGGCTCACGCCTGTCATCCTAGCTACTCAGGAGGCTGAGATCTGAGGATCACGGTTCAAAGTTCCGGGCAAGGAAAGTCCATGAAACTCTTGTCTCCAATAAGCCACCAGAAAACTGGAAGTGGCGCTGTAGCTCAAGTAGTAGAGCACTGGCCTTGGACTGAAGAGCTGAGGGACAGTGCCCAGGCCCAGAGTTAAGGCCCCACGACCGACAAAAAAAAAAAAAAGAAAAGAAAAAAGAAGGCATCAAAGGTGCTTTGTGACTGGGCTAGTAACCTTTTTCAAGGCATAAGTGCTATGCCAGTAACTTTGGTCCAGGGGAAATGAATGAGTGTGAATTTAGATTTTCCCTGTGTTGCTTTGCCCACATATCTAGCTTATCCTCTTAGAGCAACCTTTGGTTGGAAATGGAATGATCAGACATTTGAGGGCCTACCATGCACCTGACAGTCTGATCTTAGAACACTCATGAAATGCTATGGCTCAATCAAAGCTGTAAACAAACCCAGAGTGATTTTTTTTTCCCCTACAGAGCTTCCTGGTCCCACAAGCAGCATAAACAAGGAAGGCTCAGAGGAGAAGACGGATGGAGCTATAGCTCCTGCCAGAAAGGATCATACATCATAGCTCTTACTCTGGATTGTCTGTATATGTACAAAATGGAATGGAATCCAGGACCCAGACGAATTGAACAGTTGGCTGAGACCTTTCTGATTTTGAAATTGAGAATACAAGACTTAGTATTGCCAGTCTCCCTCATCAGTCTGGCATTCTATCTGTCATCTTAAGGTAAAGAAAGCACGGACATAATTTTCTTCCCTGCAGTACTGCACCCATCTTCACAAGTAGTTCTGGGTTTGGTTTGGCAATCACGCTTGCTTAGAAAAGAGGTGGGAGGCACCCTGGCATTCCACCCTCCCCTCAAATATTTAGAGTAGATAATGGGTGTGTGAGTGACCTCCACATTTGTCAGTTCTCTTCCATTCCAACCACCAATGGCAGGCCTCCACCATGTTCTTTTAGGCCTCCATTAGGGTTGATATTTCCCTCAATCCAGCTTCTCAAGGCTGGAGTTGCAAAGAGTCCCACAGGAAGAGTAACTGGTCTTTGTTTGTACCACCATGGTGTGGGTTTTTGTTGACTATACACTGAGCGTGAGGTGGGGATGCTGATGAAAGGGTTTGTGAGGGCGGCAGAGAAGGAAGAGGGAGCTCAGGGCCAGGCCGGAGGGTCACTGGGTTCTCTGTGGATTCAGCTCCTAGGAGACGTTCAGTGAGGAACTGAGCAGTTAAATCTGCTTGCTGGAGAGAACGCATTCATTCAACAATTATTTGAGTGCCTGTATTACAGATACTGAGGATAAAAGAGCACACAACTGGGGGAATGTGAAAAGAATTCTTCTATATGAGAAAACGCAATCCTAAAAGGCTAACACAGTGTAAACCCATTTATCTAACACGTGCAAAATGATATTTTACCAGTGGTGCTTCACAGAGATTAGGGATGAGAGGGGGTTAGTGGAAGGTAGGTGTGGTTATAAGAAAACAACGGGAGGGACTCAGTATCTTGACAGGCCATGAATACAGGCACCTATCACTTTGATACAAGTGATCACATCGTCTATAACTATACACACACAATGTGTGTACAAGTAAAAGGGGAACTCTGAATATAATTGATGGATGGTGTCTCCAGCGTCAAATCCTTCTTGATGTCATACACTATAGTTTTTCAGAATGTCACTACTAGGGAAAACTGGGTAATGTTGACTTTAGAGTTTCCTGGATTGTTGGTCACAGAATTATCTTAGCAATTCCAATTGTAAAACAACTAAGCCTGTTTGCTGTTGGCTGATGCCTATAATCCTGAATACTCAGAAGGCTGAGACCTGAGGATCACAGTTCGAAGCCAGGCCAGGTAGAAAAGTATTTGAGACTCTTATCTCCAATGAATCACCAAAAATCCAGACGTGGAGGTGTGGTTCAAGTGATAGAGTACCATCCTTGAGCACAAAAGCTAAGGGTGAGTACAGGGTCCTGAGTTCAAGCCCCAGTATTGGCACAAACAAACAAGAGTAACCACAACAAAACTAACTTTCTGGTCTAATGGAATCTACATTTTAGTGGAAGGCAAGTATGGTTTGATGGTAGTTACAGGGCAAAAGTCAAGGTCATCCTGGCCATCTCTCCCCTTCTCTCCCCACTTAGTCTCCTTCACTTCCCATCCTTGAGACACTGAATCTTTCCTGATGACTAAATGGAATTCAGACTCAGTAAGTGGGGGAGGAGAACAGGTGGCGTCAGAGCTTGGACCCTGGCTGCCTCCGTCCCATGACATGGGTTTTATGATTGGGAATTATTCAGTCTGCTTTGGCTTATTGAGCTCATGCTCTAGGTACCTACTAGACTTTTGGATGAGACTCAGATGTCTGTGGGGGTCCCGGTTATAAAGTAGGACCCCACATGGCCTGTTCCTAATCTCCCGTATTTCCACCTTGCTCTGAGACCCACCATCTCCTTCTACTCTGCTCCCACACCTGGTCCATCTTGGCCCCATATACAGCTGGAGGAATGTCCCTTCCTATCAGACACAGAAGTAGCTAACTGGTCTGGCTTTTGGGAGCAGGCAAAACTTCTTCATGCCAGCTCTGGTTGTGGTCCTCAATCCCTGATTCTGACATTTGTGCCACAGCTCATCAAGCTAATACCCAGCACGGTCACTCCTCTTGAAAAGGGAGAGCCCCACAGCGGTCTGACCACGCAGCAGAACGCTGTGCTGGCCACAGACCCATCAAGTCCTGCAGCTCCTCCTTGACGACCTTAGAACTTCAGAGAATGAAGCCACGTAAAAATAAAAGAAGGTCTGGACAGACTTGAAAGTTTTTATTCTTTTCTGTTACGCTGTGTCTTGCAGGGAATGACCACAAAGCAGCCTGCCTTCCTGACCACATAACTTACGAACAGGGAGGGCAGGCTGAGAAAGCTACAATGCCACACCCATGGTTTAGTCCATTAGAGCAGAGAGGAGAGCAGCAAAGAGGAGCAGGGGGAAATATTTATATGTCTTGTCTCTGATGTCTGTGGATGCTTATTCTAAGAACAGAGGTAAGATGATTTAACACCATTTCAGACGCGTCGTCTTTAAAGGAAAGGGACTTTCATAGAAGTGCTAGATCTAGCCCGGAAGATGTAGAATTTGAAGCTTTAGCTGTTTTTTGGTTTCTACAGCCAAACTGAAACACAGGAAGCAGCTGGCTTCTCACCATGGGCTCCTCACAGCGCCCGAGGGAAGAAGAATCACAAAATGAAATGCACAGTCAGTCAGCAGAGCTGGGCATCGTTACCCTGATGCTCTTCTCCCAGGGCCTGAGCCCAGCCGGCTCCTCAGGCCTGGGAGGCTGCGTGGTGGTCTGCAGCCGTGTCCTGCTGTGCCTTGGAAGGGGACTGATGTCTTGTGTCCCAGTCTGTATCCGGGACAAACAAGCCATGGAGGTCCAGGTGCATCTCCACAGCAACAGAGGCGCGAGCCAATTCCGTAAAACTTTTGGCATCCAGGATAAGCAGAAAAGGAGGCTTTTGGGGATCAGTGGAAACAATGGCTGATAAGATAACTCCTTTGGGAAACAAAAAGAGATACTTTAGTCTTTTCCTTTCTCCCCGCCTCCCTTTTTTTTGGTTGGTTGTGGGGCTTGAACTCGGCCTGGGTGCTGTCTCTCAGCTCTTCAGCTCAAGGCAAGCCTTCTACCACTTGATCCACAGTGCCACTTCCAGTTTTCTGGTGGTTTATTGGAGATAAGAGTCTCACACACTTTTCTGCCCAGTGTGGCTTTGAACCACAATCCTCAGATCTCAGCCTCCTGAGTAGTTAGTATTACAGGCGTGAGCCACTGACGCCCGGCCTCTTCTCTCTTCTTTCTTCTTTCCTCCCTTCCCTCCCTCACTCCCTCTCCTTTTTCCTTCCTTCCTTCCTTCTTGTGGGAATGGAGCCCAAGACCCTCAGCTCTACAAACAGAATCTTCATAAGAATACAGTGGCTCACGCCTGTCATCCTACCTCCTCAGGAAGCTGAGATCTGAGGATCATGGTTCAAAGCCAACCTGAGCAGGAAAATTACCAAAAAAAAAGTCGCAAGTGGTGCTGTGGCTCAAGTGGTAGAGCATTAGCAAAAGAAGCTCAGGGACAGTGCTCAGGCCCTGAGTTCAAGCCGCAGGACTGACCAAAAAAAAAAAAAAAAAGAATAGCCATGTATCCTTGTTCCCTCTGAACTCATGGGTCTAATTTGCGCAAGAGATAGGAGAATGTGATAATTGTGTGAGGGAACTAGGGGTCAGAAGATCTGGATCAAGCCCTGGCTGTACCCTTCCCTGTGCCTCTTTGAACCTCAGTCTCTATCTCTGCCCAGTGAGGAGGATCTGCAGGGTGGACTCATAAATTGTAAGTGCCTCACAATTGTCACATGTACTGAAGATTTTCCTACTCGATGATAATCAGCCTGGGCATGCCCTCAGGACAATCCCGGTCCTTTAGCTGAATTCTTTGTGAGCTACGCGGCACTTGATTGTTTTTTGGGGTAGTATTGGGGTTTGCGCTCAGGCTGTCGAGCTTGCAGGCCGGGGCTCGACCAGTTGTGTCACACTCCCAGCCCACCACGTGGCATGCGAGTGAGTCCAATCCACCTGTTCCATCTGCAGCAACACGGGAGCCCAGCTTTCCCTCTGTGAGATGAGAGTGCTCTCAGTGCTCGGTGCTCATTCTCGAGACAGGCAGAGGGTTAATGACATCGTGTATGCATGTTCAGAACAAATGGCTGAGATTCCTTCCCTAGGCTCCTGGCTCCTAGTGTGCTTGAGCACAGCTGAAGTCAGACTGGCCCGTGTTCAAATCCCACCTCTGTACCTACGGGCTGTGTGACCTTGGCAGGATCTCTCACCACCAGCCTTCCCTTGCCAAGACAAGGGTCACACTTCCTCTTCATGGAGAGAATGTACGGGAAGTCCCTGCCCAGCCTCCGCAGGGATTTATGCCAATGCCCCCCCACCCCCGCCCGCCATGGAGATGGCAGTGACACCAGCCAGCATGCCAGGCCACAGTCAGCAGGAAGACAGGCCAGGTGGAAAACCACTCCTTCCCAGCTGAGGGAAGAAGCTGGCAGGCTCCGAGGGGCAGCCCTGCCTCTGCTGCAGGTGTGGACAACCCCATGGGTGGCTTGGCAGGGCTGCGTCTCCACCCATGGTTCTTGTTAGCTGCCTTGGCATCCCCTGGGCTGCGGGCAGGGTATTTCTGAGGCCAAAGGACAATGTAGAAACCCACAGCATTTCTAGGGGCTTCCATGAGATGTGTACACACTTAGAAGTGAGTTGGTTAGAAGTCTGAAGCCAGCCATTGCACCAGATTTAAAAATGGAGCCTCGACATTGGGTGAGAGTTTGGTGGCACCGAGTGGGAGAAGTGACACTGAAAAGGGTCTTTGTGCAGAAAAGAATTTAGCCTTGATGAAAGACAGGCCTCGCCCTTGTACTGGGGCGTCCCCTCTAATCTTCTGGAGGTCCTACCCAAGAGGCTTTGGTTCACTGGAGGCTTCCGGCCATGTCAGATAGTCCAGCCTCCACTGGGCCTTATGGGGGAGTCATGGGCCACATACATGGTCTCAGCTCAACCTCTGTGGGGGAGGTTGAAGACTGAAGGCCACCCAGGTCCTCACGACCAAGCCTCAGTAAAATCCTTGGATCTGAGGCTCTGGGTGGGCATCTTTGGCTAGAAGTCCCTTGTTAGCACTACCTACGATGCCATTCAGAAAAGGGTGGCTGGGCTCCAGGCCTGGTCTCTCCTGGACCCTGCCCTGAGGGCTTTCTTCCTACTGCTGATTTGCATCTGTATCATTCTACTGCAACCAGCCTTTGCCTTCATTGTAATGGCTTCCCAGGAGCTCTGTGAGTCCTCCCAGCCGTAGAACCTGAGGTGGTACCGCAGACCCTCAGACTTGCTACTGATGTCAGAGTGGTCTTGGAATCTCCTAACGGGCAGCCTTGACTCGGACACACCCGGACTCCATAGCCGGTGCCCCCAGCTGTGCAGTGCCCACCAACAAGGCCCATGTTGGGGGGAGAGGGGGGGGTCAGGAGCAGGGAGCAGAGTCTTACCGTCATCCTCGTCCTTGGCACCTGGCGTGGGCACAAACAGGGGTTCCGCGGGCCAGCAGCTCTCCTCGCCCCATTTTAAGGAGGACTTTGTGCGAATGTCATATTTTAGTATCTGTGCATCCAGAGAAGAGAAGCATGCGATCACTTGTCTGAGAAAAGGAAGGCATGAAGGCCACAGAGGGGTGAAGATGCCAAACTCAGTCTTTTGATGTCAGCCCCAAATGATATCTGCCTCTGATCAGCTCAGTCACACACAGAACAACAGTGACTTCCTTCTACTTCCGACACAAAACTACAGAGCTGAGACTGCACACCGAGTTTCAGGAAAAGCCTGAACTCAGCTGCCATTTGCCGCTACACTGCAATGTTTCCTGTTGACTGACTGTGGTTTTAATACCAGCTATTCAAGCAGAAGACAAAGCCTTCGTTGCTCTAAAAAGTGAAAGCCTGTCTGGGGGAGGTGGTTCAGAGGTACAGCCCTCGTCTAGAATGCACCAGGTCCTGGTTTGGTCCCTCAGCACCATCACCACCCCCGCCCCCAGTGCAAGTCCTCAGGCCTCTCTAAAGCTCTCCTGGTCCTTTTCCCTTGGGGTGTAGGATTAGTGGGGAGCGGCTTGGGGTGTGTGCATGCGTAGGTGGGAGCCTTCTACATTTCTGCCTAGTTCGCATTTTTCACATGAGGATTTATTTGAAAATGCAGATGTTAGGGAAAAGCCAGCACTGTAGCGCACCTCACGCCCCACTGAGACATAGCAAGTATTGACCTGGAGGAGCTTGAAAACCAAATCCATCCTCTACAGCACACTGCTCCAGAGTGTGGTAGTCTCTGGAAGGCAGAACTGGGATTCCTCATGGCAACTTGTATATCCTTGGTGCCAACTCAGTGTGGCACACAGTTGGTACCCAATAAATTAATCAGAAATGAAGAAATGCATGTGTGAACTCCAATCAGGTCTTCTCCATGGGCTTCACCTCCCTCTCTTAGATGGCTCACCATTGTGTCAGATGCACACCCAAATTGCCCTCCTCCTGTGCACTCCTTTTGGATCAAGTCCACCAGTATCAAAAGGTGAGAATTCAGTTTTCCAGACAGAAAAGATATTGTTGTGGAGTGAGCCATCTATAAGCACAGGGCTCCATACCTTGGTTGGGATTGGACTCCACTGAACCTCAGCAGCATAGATATACCGGTATGGCTTTCCATTGTGAGCGTAATTGATCTGAGGGAGCTCCAGGCCTGGAGAGAAATGAGAAAGGATGAAGCCCTATCACCAAGATGAGAAAGGTTGGTCTGGGAAGGTGGCTCAGCGGTAGAGCGCTTGCCTTGCATGCATGAGGCCCTGGGTTTAATTCCTCAGCACCACATAAGCAAAAAGAAAAAAGCCGGACGTGGTGCTGTGGCTCAAGTGGTAGAGCGCTAGCCTTGAGCTGAACAGCTGAGGGACAGCGCCCAGGCCCAGAGTTCAGGCCCCACGACCGGACACACATACACACACACACACACACACACACACACACACACACACAAAGGTGAGAAAGGTACCTGGCTTCACACCTGGCTGGGCCTCCATTCCATGGAAATGGGCCCTAGCAGGGTCTCCTGACCTTCATTCAGCCCATATTGCATCAAAGGGGGTCAAAGACAGGGGAGGGGCCCTCTGATAATGACCTTGGCTCTGTTAGAAGGTTCAGAAGCAAGGTGCTATAGTCCTGGGTTTTTAACTATATAAACATCTGTAATTATCCCAGATAGAAATCAAACAGAATTGCAAGACTAAAATCAGAGGCTACTGCAATTTTTTAAAAAGCTCTTTTAAAAAAGGAGCGTGCATGCACACACACACACACACACACACACACACACACACACACACACACATGCATGTGGAGATGTGAAGGAAGGAATATCAATGGGGACTATGAATGCATTTGATGAATTTTACTATAAGATAGCATTATGGTAAAATAATGCTTACAAAGGATTTTGAAAAAACCTAGGCGAGTGCCAATACCTAAGGTGACATATTAAAAGCTCAGGTTATAATTATCTCCATATTGTTATAAATGGAGAAAAGAGTTCAGCGGCCCTGCTGGACTGAAAACTGCTGCATCGTTTTTATATTATAGAATCTAGGTTTCTTATGACACAAAACTTGCATTAAGCTTGTTACTTTCATCACTGAAAAATGAATGCACTTTTGCATGCAAATATGTTCACATTTGCATATGCCTGTGGTATCTAGGGGAATTTCTGAGTCTGAGTACTGAAGTCAAACTACTTGTCTGTCTCATGACATATTCCAGTAGCCAGAACCAATTCTTGGCAAAGAGACAATGTCCAAGAAAAGAGGTCTCTTCCTAAGAGACCCCAAGGTATAGTGGTTGTTGGGCTCAAGCTAGCGGTGGGGTGGGGGGAAGGGCAGGAAATAGATGACTGGGACAGGAAGGAGTTCTAGGAGAAACTGGGAACTGGTCCAGGTGAACATCAGGAGGAAGGCAGACTGCTCACACTGAGAGAAGATGCAGGCTAGGGGTGAAGCTCAGTGGTAGAGCACTTCCTCTAACACAGACAGACAGACAGACAGACAGACACACACACACAGAATGAAAAAGAAGAGGAGTCCATTAGTTTTAAGGCAGGCCTGGAATTGAGATCTATACCTTTACTTCTAAAGACTCACACATACTTGAACCCCTCCCCCCCACCCCGCCCTGCCCCCACCAGAATTGGTCAGCGGATGAGATGCCACTAACAGAGGTAGATGTTTCCCAGCAAACTTGAGGTTGTCCTGGCAGAGTCCCCAGGACTGGTGTCCTTTGGGACATCGGAGCCTGGCCCAGGGCAGCAACATGGTGGATGCTTGGTTTAATCCATACCCTGGGGCATGTGTGATCGAGGAGTGCCCATCTAGCACACATGAGGCCCTGAGTTCAAGTTCCAGCACTGCAAAAGCCAAGCCAAACCAAGCTTCCCATCACCTCTATGAGGCTATACAGCCACTCAAGCCCATGAACACAAGGCCGGCCTGAGCAAGCAGCAAGTCCCTGTCTCAAAGACAAAAGCAATCCACATGTGACTCCCCAGTGAGAAAGCCCTGCGTAAGGGCATTCTGTCTACACTGTATTTCTTTTGCGGTTATCAAGACATGGTTTCACTACGTATTCCAGGCTGGCCTAGAACCCAAAATCTTCCTGCTTCAGTGCTAGAATTATAGGTGTACACCACCATGCTGGCTCACTCTGTACTTCTAAAACCCATCTAGTCCAGATTTATTTATTGAGGTATATTACTTCATTGTGACATTTCCAAACATGTATATATTCAATCATGTTCACCTCTCTATTCAATTATTCATGCTTTTTCCTTTTCTTTTCGTCAGTCCTGGGGCTTGAACTCTGGGCCTGGGCGCTGTTCCTTAGCTCTTCAGCTCAAGGCGAGCGCTCTACCACTTGAGCCACAGTGCCACTTCCGGTTTTTTGGTGGTTTATTGGAGATAAGAGTCTCACGGACTTTCCTGCCCGGGCTGGCTTTGAACCTTGATCCTCAGATCTTAGCCTTCTGAGTAGCTAGGATGACAGGCATGAAGTTCCCGGCTTCAATTATTCATTCTTATCATTTCCTTTTTGACAGTTTTTATGTTATGCCCGACTATGCTGTGTGGCTGATACGTTGCGCTCAGAAACGCAGCCCCCATGGGACAGCAGCGAGGCCTAGGGACATTTCCGCTCCAGTGCAGTGACGCTGGTTCTGGCCCCCACTCAGGGCAGGAGGACTGGGTGCTTCCTGAGCACCCTCCAGTGCTCAGGACAGGAAACTATCCGGCCCCAAAGTCTGCAGAGCCCAGGCTGCGCAGTCCCTCCCATGGGCCTGGCTTCTGTTGGGGGGAGGGGCCACTCTGCATGGAAGCCAGCATCCTCCCGCCTCCCCACCCCTACTTTTCCACTCTGTAGAATAAGGCCAAGGACATTGGGCTATGTAGAGATAGAACAGGAAGCTCTCACAGCAGTTCACAGCCATTAGCAGATGACATCTGTAAGGGTCATGTGGGCCAAGGAGCAGAGAGATATTAGGAGCTACCAGAAAGAGAGAGGTCCCCAAGTGCTTTTCCTTGGGGTTCCGAGAGCCCCCTGTCCATGCATGGAGGAGGGTTATGGAGAGGCCTTGAGGGGGGGTCTCCTTTAAATCCCTTGGGACCTCAGTGAAGGGAGAGAGGGCCACTGTACCTTCATAAAGCAATTCCGGCTGGCAGTAGACATGATCGTCTTTTTCCTTCATGGCGGTCGCTCGTGTAGATGTTGCTCTGATTAAATTTGAGCCCACTTCAGCATTCTGCAAAGAATCAGTTTTTTAAAAAAAGAAAGAAAGAGAAAGGAAGAAAGAAAGAAAAGGAAAACCTTATTTGTAGGAAGCCTGCGCTGCATTTAAAATGCATTAGCAGACATCATCTTGCTTGGCTTTCCATTAGCCAGAGGAAGCAGCTATTTTATTGGTGGTATTCTTATTCTCAGCTAAAGCTACGAGGACTGGCAAATTAAGGTGACTACTGGAAGGTCACGTCCTGGTGGGCGGTGGAGCCAGGGCACCTAGACCTGGACTCTTCCTCCGAGCTGCTCTGTCCCTCCCAGGGAAAATGAATGTGCTCAGGAGAGCAAGTTCTCACTTTTTAAACATTGGGTGACTCACCTAGAGAAGCCAGCAGCAGCCATTAAAAGGTGTTTATAAAGAGTGGACAGTAACATCAGAGATGGTTATGATATAAAACTGAATAAAGCATCAGAATAAATTGTACATGCATCTTAGCTCAACCACATGAACAAAAGAATTACATCGAAAGGAGTCTGGGAGGTATTCACCAACTATTAATGATACAGCCGGCGGTGAAGATGGACCCTTGCATCCTTTTCTGTACTTCTCTCTGTGTTCAGGCTTTTCCCCATGAGTATGTGTGCATAGCTATATACACATATATGTACATATACTATATGTGTATGTGTATATCACTGCTGAAACAAACATGAGATAAAGCATATTTGGGAGGAAAAACAGCTTACGGGGGCAGACTTTAGCCTTAAGTGTCAATGAGACTTTGCTCTGTTCAGTATCTCACAGTCATGGCTTTTCCCCAAGGGGAGGGGGAAGGATGAACTATGTGTTGAACGAGGACTATTTCCTGTCCCACACCCCCAGTACTAATCACGGGACTTGGAGCAAGTCAGCCTGTTGTAGTTCCTTCCGTGTCTAATGAGGATCGCAATGGTAGGTGCCTCTTCCTGTTACTATGAACATGAAACTCAAACACCCCCAGCAATGTGTTACAGGAGTGCCTGGCTGAGTGTGAGCTGCTTGTGTTGAGAGTGACCTCTTCATTCTCACACAGTACCTCTCTTAGGGTTGGGGGATACCTTCTAGGTATCTAAAGTACAGACAGCTCTGAATCCTGTGTATAGGCACGGAGAGGCACAGTATAGCTTCAATAAGAGACAGCTATGAGATGGCTAACAGACGGGTAGTGCACACAGAACGGAAATGCTGGGAAAGGCCAGGCTTCACATCACTCAGAACAGTAGGAAATTTAAAGCAGAGGAATTGTTTTGGCATTTATCATCAAATATTTTTGGACCACAATTGGTGGTGGATTGCTGAAACTGTAGAAAGCAAGAGTGGCTAAATGGGGGGGCATATCACTATATTAATAGTTCTGTCTCATTTAAATTTTTCTCTATGTACCATATTTTCTCAAATGGTTTTTATAGTTCAAACCAACCTCTTTTTTTTTTTTTGCCAGTCCTGGGGCTTGAACTCAGGGCCTGGGTGCTGTCCCTGAGCTGCTTTTGCTCAAGGCTAGCGCTCTATCACGTGAGCCACAGCTCCACTTCCAGCTTTTTCTGTGTATGTGGTACTGAGGAACCCAGGGCTTCATGCATGCTAGGCAAGCACTCTACCACTGAGCCACATTCCCAGCCCCAAAACCAACCTCTTTTAATGATAAAGGATTTGTTTTTTCTTTCTTTCTTTTTTTTTTTTGTCAGTCATGGGGTTTGAACTCTGGGCCTAGGCACTGTCCCTTAGCTCTTTAGCTTAAGGCTAGCACTCTACCACTTTGAGCCATAGCACCACTTCTGGCTTTTTCTGCTTATGTGTTGCTGAAGAATCGAACCCGGGGCCTCATGCATTCAAGGCAAGCGCTCTACCACTGAGCCACCTTCCCAGCCCCAGGATTTGTTTTTTTTAATTAGTGGGGCTTGAACTTGGCCTAAACAGGGTCTTTTCTTGGGGCGGGGTGTGTGTGTGGGGGTGTGTGTGTGTGGGAGGGCTGGGGTTGGGGAGGGAAAGTTTACTGCCTCCTGGTGGTTGAACTGGTTCATAGCTCAATTTACAGAAGAGGAAACTGAGGACCAGGGGAATTAAGGCTGGGCTCAGGCCTTTGTACGGCAATTCTGGTGCCCAGAAGCAAGAACATTTTAGACAGAAGGTGAATCAAGGGCAAAGGCCCGAGGTTGGCTTGCTCCATGCTACAGGTCTCAGCTCATATATCCCTGTCCGAATCTACATTTGTCCCAAGCTTTAATCATCCCCCCGCCCTTTTTAAGGTACAAGACGGGAATTTGAGCTTGGTACACCTACTGCGGCTTTTGCTCATTGGCTAGCACTCTACCAACTGACTGGGAAACCCCTGATCAGCTCCTTTATGAAGATGGATCTTCCACCTCCTTTCCTCCCTCTCTCCCTCTCTCTCCCTTTCCTCCTTCCCCCTCCCCTCTCTTTCTCTCTTGCTCTTTTTGTTACTGGGGTTTGAACTCAGGCCCTCCTACTCTCTAGGCAAGCATTTTACCACTTGAGCCATGACCCTAGTCCTTTGGTTTTTAGTTATTTTCTGATAGGGTCTTGGTACCTTTGCTCTGGGCTGGCTTTGGACCATCCTCCTACTGCATCATCCTCCCATGTATCTGGCAAAACAGGCACCATGCCCATGAGATGGAGGTCTTATGAACTTTTGGCCTAGTCTGGCCTTGAGTCACGATCCTCCTATCTCCACCTCCAGAATGACCAGGATTATAGGTGTGAGCCACTGTGCCTGGCCAGCTGTAATCTTCTTTATGCCTCTCTTCTCCATGAAGGCTGATACCAGAGTGCCCAGCTCACTGCACCTAGGGAGTGAGTGTGGGAGTGAGCGTCCCTTCACTGGCGAAGGGCAGAGTGCATGCTTTGTAGGCTGTCTGTAAGGTTCAATGAAGTAAATGCCTGAATGAAGCAGCCTGGCATCCTGCAGTGTCTTAACAACAGAAACTCTCAGTGCCCTGCCTGCACAGTTGTGGGAGGCCCTTCCCAGAGCCTCCCCGGCACATGACAGCCACAGGCCCCTGGGCATGTCCCAGCCTCGATTCTCAGGGAGTTGGTCTCCAGATCCACCTTCTAGCTGCAGCCTGAAACTGGTCAGACTGGTTGAAGGATAAACTGAATTTTTCCACACACAGCAGTAATGGACACATTCAGCTGCTTCTGGTAGCCAATGTGCTCAGCTTCGGAGAGAAATCACTGCCTAGCCAGACTACATCAAGAGCTCCGAGGGGAAGCAGTAAGCTCAGAAATGCGTATGGAACCTGACTTCATGGCTTTCTGGGTGACTGTGAGCAGAGCCCAAGACCTCTGAGTCTGCTTCTCTGTCTGTAGAGTAGGTCACTTCCGCCAGGTCTGAGGATTTGGGTTAGTACCAAATGAAATCATGCTGGTCTAGGGCCTGACACCCGGCAGTGAGTGACTGTCAGAATTCAAATCCTGACTGAAATCCATGAGTAATTGTTTAAAGTTAGGCAAGCTACTTTCTCTCTCACCTTCAGGCGTGGAGGTAGAAAATAGCACAGAGAATGTCAGGCACAGTGGCTCATGCTTATAATTCTAGCTGCCCAGGAGGCAAAGTTTGGAAGGCTTATGGCTAGCGGCCAGTTTGGGCAAACGGTCATCAAGACCCCCATTTCAGAAAATAAGCTGGGTGTGTTGGTGCGTGTCTGCCATCCCAGTTAGGCGGGCGGGAGGAGTAGGTAGAGGGATTGAGGTCTGAGGTGGGCTGTGCACAAAAAACACAATACCTTATCTGAAAAATAAAGCAAGAAAGGGCTGAAGACTGGACTCAAGGGATAGAGTACTTTCCCAGGGAGTGTAAAGTCCTGAGTTTAAACCTTAGTACTGCTAAAACAAAAACAAAAGCAAAAATAGAAACAAATAAGAGAGAGACAGAGAGAGAAAGAGAAAGAGAGGGAGAGAGAAAGAAAGAAAGAAAGAGGGAGAGAGAAAGAGGGAGAGAGAGAGAAAGAAAGAGATTGGGAAAGGAAGGAAGGGAGAAGGGAGGGAGGGAAGGGAGGGAAGGAAGCAAGGAAAGAAGGAAGGAAGGAAAAAGAGAAAGAGAATAAAAAGAACTCAGGGAGTTGAAATGTGAGTTAGCAAAGCACTTGTCAATTCCTAAAATTTTCAGGACCTAAGTTCTAGCACAAAGATGGCAGCAAATTATGACACACATCTCTCTAACTCAGACACTGCTATGCTACCAAATCACACAACCATCCAGTATAGCAACCACGAGCCACGGGTGACTATTCCAACTACCTAAAATAACATGAAGCACAAGGAAGAATTTGATGCTTCAGCTACACCAACCACACCTCAAGCATCTAGAGCCCAGACAGCTACTGTAACGGACAGAACATTCCAGCAATACAAGGGTTCTAATGCACAGGCTGGTCTGGGAGGAGAAGTGTGAATTGAGAAGTCTAGGACCCCTGGGGGGGTCCCAAGGCCCAGCCTCTGTCACCTGCCCCCCTCATTTCTTATGTGAGCCTCCATCCCTGGCTGCATGGAACCTCCCCAGCCAGCCGGCCCAGCTCGCGGGCACACCAGGGGCAGAGTCTGCCTTAGGGGGGCGGAGGCAGACCTACAGTAGTCTGGGGTCCCAGGTCCTAGCACATGGGTGAGCTGGCAGTGGGGAGACACCCTTTCTGGTGGACCCAGCCTGCGACTCTGTGATCTTTCTCTCTCTCTGAAGCAGGGGCCATGCTGGAGGTAGCTTTGGAAGCTAGCTCAGGGCCTCCAAAGTGACAATGCCAGAGCAGTGGCCTCAGAGGAGGGAGAAGACAGGTATTTATCTAACACAGCGCCTGACACATAATGCGCTATCCATAGATGGCAGCTTTACTTATGCTCATGCCCTCATTTGGAGACAAGACCCCAAATGTCCTGACCCAGGAGTGAAGACATGGACTGTAGTCCCAGCATGCCTCTCCCCACAGCAGCCTCTTACACGTGGACGTTGAACACTCTGCAGGCCACCTTCAAGGCAGCCGTGGTGCCTGTTGGGAGGAGGGCAGGGCAGCGGCCCTGCTGTCTGTACATGCCCACGGTCCTCTCTGCTGCTCCTCCTCCCTCTGAGCCCTGCCTTAGACACCCATGCCGCCCTACAGAAACTGCCAAGGTGCCCAGGGCCCTGTCACCCCACCTTCCTCTGGCCCCAGCTGGACCAACTGCAGAGGACTGGGGTGGCAGTCAGCAGGGCCCGACTTCTGGGTTTAAGCCTAATCATCTGTCCTCTGGAAATCTCTGCTCACCCTGGATATAGTCCAAATGCAAAAGGCAGCCCTGTGTCCTCCTGGAGACCTTGTTTCATGGTTTCCTTTCATTCATTCATTAATCGTTCATTCATTCCCAGTGTTTGATTGCCTAACCACGACTTCTGCATGCAGGGTGGCCTGATGCTAAAGACAGAGCCCCCTCCACACTGCGTGGAGCCGGGGCTTGAGCAGAAGGAGGAGACTGAGCAAGTCTGGCATGCTGAAGGTGGAGAAGCCATGGTGGAGATGGTGCCACGGAGACACAGGCTTGAGAGGATGAAGAACCGGCGAGGCCCTGAGCTTCTCTTCCCTGGCTGGCTGTTGGACTCTCCCAGGGGCTCGGGGCCCCACATCGGGCCTGGCCACCCCCACCATCAGGTTCCACTGACTTTGGCCTGGGCCTGGGGCTGGGCAGGGGATTCCAGTGTGTATCCAGGGAAAAGATGGGCTACAGCATGGCCTTCCTGCTAGACCTGTGTGTAGGGGGACCTGGAGCCCTCCGATCTGCCTCTGTGTGTCTGTGGACACCTGCCTGACTTCCCCATTTCCACAGGCAAGCAGCTGAATGACTTGAAAGTAAAAGAGACATCTTTAAGGGACAATAAATAGCAATTAACCAGCGTGGCCAGAGCTATCCAAGGTAGGGTTTGCTCTTCTTGGCTCATTTCAAAGCAGCAAGTAGCTACCTGGTGACCTTTAAAATCATACAGGCTAACCTTCTAGGCTTGCTTCTGAGGAAGCAAACCATTTCCTGAGCGTCATGAAAGGTTATAAAATCTCTGGTGTGTGGGCAGCAGGAGGGAGTATGTTCCTCTGTTCCTCTCCGGGCACCAGCCCTGGGATGAGGTCGCCCTTGTGATTCACGCCCTGTGTGCTTCGTGCCACCCTGTTTTTCCCAGAACCCAGAGACAGTCCAGGGCACCGCACCTCAGTGTGTCCTGGGCAAGGGGCACAGAGCCCAGCTCATGGATTAAATAATCCTGGTCACATCCCAAGGGAAAGGAGCCAGCCCCTCCCTTCCTCCCTCCTTCCTTCTTTTATCCCGCCTTCCTTCCCTCTTCCTCCCCGTCCACCCCTTGCCTCAGTGCTGCTCTTTCTGGGCCTGGCTTCTGTCCTGTAGTTGTTTTTTTTTTTTTTTGCTCAAGGCTGGCACTCATTCTAGCACGTGAGCCAGTGCTCTCCTTGCTTTTTAGTGACTAATTGCAGATAAAAAGTTTCATGAACTTTCCTGCTCAGGCTGGCTTTGAACCAGGATCCTCAGATCTCAGTCTCCTGAGTAGTTAGGAGCCAAAAGTGAGCCTATGTACTCAGCACTACTCTCTTTAGGCCAAGCAGAGAGTTTCAGGTACCCAACACTTCTAGCACTGATACTTTACAAATGTTCTCTCTTTTTTTAAAAAAAGATTGTTTGTTTATGTGTAACCTACATGGGCATGGACCTTGCTATGGAGCCCATTTCTTGCCCCAGTCTACTAAGTGTTGGGGTAACAGGTATGTGCCATTATGGCTTGGCTCCTTTCTTTTTTAAAAATGGGGTTCTGGGGAATCGAGCCCAGGGACTATGCATGTCAAGCATGCTTTCTACTGCGAAGTCGCACCTTCGGCCCCCTTCAGGCCTCAGAGTGGAGGCCTTGCACGCGGTGGCCCAGACGGGAGCTGTGCACCTTGGCTCGGCCTCTGCTCTATCTGTAGGGAGCGGGGCTTGTTTGTGTGGCTATGACACACGTTCACATAAGGTAATAAAGAGTAAGTTGAAGAACACAAACAGGAAAGACTGTATGGATGTTAAGCCGAGATGATACTACAGAGTAAGATCAATGCAGGGTGATGCAAATGACCAGAGCTGGACTAGAAGCATGGCTCGGGTGGTAGAGTGCTTGCCTAGTAAACTGGAGACCCTAAGTCCAGTCCCCAGTATCATAAAAATGAAAAGAAAACTCCAAATGTCCAGAACTGGAGAAATGCTGGAGAGAGGAGGGACCATGATTTTGGAGGCAGACAAACTTGGATGACATATCCTGGTTTCTGTATTTCTTGATGGGGTATGGCTGAATGCCTGCACCACAGAGCCCTGGCTACTGGGGGGTTGGCCCCCAGGCCTCCAGAGCCCTGCCCCTAGTCATGGTGGCCCCTCTGGAGCTCTTTCCAGGACTTGGGCCTGCAAGGGTGGATCAAAGCTTGAAAACTAACTGGTGACCTCTGGCACGTATCTTCACCTCTCTGAACCTCAATTTTTTCCCATGTAAAATGAGGGCTCATATGGGGATCTCTTCCTTAGATTGTTTAGATCATTAGGTGACATAAGGAAAATTAAATGCATAGCATGTAAGCCCGCATATCTTAATTGAATTCAATTTGGGTTCAATTAAGGTCAATTAAGTCATGAAGTCACTGAGTTCTGCAGCCAGAAGCCAGTCTCCTTATGCTTAGAGCCTCGCCTTAATGGAGGCAACTTTGACACTAGTGGGCACATCTAGGGTGAGAAGGGACGGCATAAGACCAGAGAGTTGAGTGAGTGGAGGGAGTAAATCCTTGCCAGAGATTTTGCAGGGAATATGTAAAGCAATATTATGAGAGAATATTTACTATTAGGAGAGACATTTGGATATATAAATACTGTAGGTGCAAAAACCAGTAAGTAAAATAGCGTGAACATCTAAGCCATAGAAGGGAATGAAGTATGCATGCGCACCATAATGTAGGAAGAAGTCACACAAGAGGCCGCACACTGTGTGACTCCACTCCTGTGAGAACTGGGATGTGGCAGGGGTCACAGGTCGGGAGCCCCACCTGCTCTTGGGAGCTGATGGTCAAGGGGTGGGCATTTTTTGGGGGGTAATGGAAAATGTTCTAAAATCTATTGTGATGATGGAGGCACAATTCTGTGGCCCTATCAAAGGGCCACAGTTGGGGACTGGTGATTCACACCTGAAATCCTAGCTACTCAGGAAGCTAAGACCTGGAGATGTGAAGCCAGCCTGGAGGGAGAAAAAAAAATCTGTGAGGCTCCATCTCCATCTCCAATTAACTAGCAAAATCTGGAAAGGAGGCATGGCTCAAGTGGTAGAGAGCAAAGAAACTGAATGAGACAGGGGCCCTGAGTTCAAGGCCCAGTACCAAGCTCCCCAGCCCAGCCAAAAAAAGGCCACTGAATTAAACAATCTAGGTAAACAAATTCTATATTATGTGACTCCTATCTCAATAAAGCTGTTAATATTATGCATAGCATGATTAAAATTAAGACATGCATGTATATATAACATTATCTATATATAATATATATAATATGTATATATGAAGGGAGAGAGATTGAAAAAGAACTAGCTAGCAGGTGATGCAAATCTACCCACCATGATCATCTGGGCTTTTAAAAAAAAACAACAACCCTATGTTTTCTAAACTTGCTGCACATATATAGACCACTTTTGGACAATGAAAAAAATAATATAAAAAACCCCGATAGTTCAGAGCACAAAGGCCCCAAATAGACAAAGTTCATTTTGAATTTCAGTGTCTCTCAGCCAAGTGTGACATGAGTGCCCACCCAGGCTCCGATGTTAACTTTGAAGGTGTTACCTTGTCCACGTGCAGGGGCACGGCGAACCTCCGGAGGGTGGGCACCGAGGTAAGCCTGGAGTTCTCCTCAAAGTCCTGGTTCAGGTTGGCCAAGTAGAAGAGCTGGTAGAGGCTGCTGTCTTGGTAGGCGATGACATCAAACAAGATGCAGCCGTCCTCCTCATGGGCGTTGACGTGGTGGAAGACCACCATGGGGTCTGTGTAGAACTTGGTGGGCACGGGCCTTCTGGTCCTCCGGTCAACGATGTGGATGTAAGTCTGGAAGAAGACACTGGTGGTCAGCTCTCCCTTTGACACCCAGCATGATGGCATGGAGACCAACAGCACCCATCCCTCACCAGCACTAGCTCATGACCCTGGAGCCTCGCTTCTCCATTCGGACCTCAGCTGCCTCCCAAAGTGCCAGACAGGCAAAGGCGTCCAGCAGAAGGGAGCCATTTATGGCTGCATTTCTGTGATGGCGTCCTTGGATGGAAGGAAGGATGCTCGGCCCCGGGGCCTCCAGGCCGTCTTCACAGAGGATGCACTGCCCCTCAGTCCATGGAGTGGGACTCTCGGGAGGTGGTGACACCCTGCTCCCTGCCAATTGTCACGTTGGGGAGAATTTTCCGGGTGCCAGGTCTATCCAGGGATGGAGCCCCAAATACTTTGCCCTCTGGGTCTTGTCTCCTCACCACCAGAGCAAGGTCGGCTTCACAGCCGCCCTGCTAATCCTCCAGGGCTGCTCTAGCTAGGCATGGCATCTGCCCCCCAGGCCTCGGGATGGCCTTGCTGGATGTCCCCAGGCCACATAGCCCCTGCGTGGGGCTCACTATTCCCAGGACTGTCAGCATCCAATGACTTATTGAGGGGGGGCGGGGAGCAAAGGTTCCGCCCTCTAGTCTTCATCCTAAACCACTACAAAGGACCAGCCCAGCTTTGGAACTTTCTGGAAGGCTTTCAGGGAGACTGTTCTGTACCTAGTTCTCACCCTACTGCCATGCGACTGCCTTCTGGGGCAGCTAGCCCCACTCAGTCCTGCCAGGCCTCACCTTGTCCTCCCCGTGGAAGGTCATACAGGAAGCCCAGCTCACTCCCCGCATGTATGCCGTTGCCATCTTGAGAATGTCCAACTTGAAAGGTTGCTCCAGAAACACCACATAGTTGTCAGTGAGGCCAAAGCTGTGGTAGTAGCTGGGGGAGAGGAGCGAGCGGGAGGGGATGGAGCAGAACACCTCTGTGTGCTTCAAAGGGCTCGTCCCCTTCTTCTGGTCCTCCTCTGGAGAAAAGCAAACCTTAGGGATCCAGCAGGCACTAACCAGTAGGGGCCCTAGGACCACAGTGCTGTCACCCGCAAACTGTCTTGCTAAAAAGAACCTCTGAGTTAGAGCCACCCAAGAGACCAGGTAGATGGAGAGCCTCCTGCTCAGCCGTGCCCTGGGTGAGCCTGGTTCTCCACTCAGGGAGACTGAGTCCAGGGTCCTCATCACAGCCTGTGGGCTAAATCAAGCCCCTCCCCACTTTTGCAAAGACAAGTTCCTCAGGAACCTGGCCATGCTCTGCATTGTCTATGGCTGCTTTTGCCTTCCAGTACAGTGACCCAGGTGAACCTCTGTGGAAAACACCGGATGGTTCTCAAAGCCTTAAATAGGTACTATTTGGTCCTTTGACAGAAAAAGTTGACTGTGTGAAGGAACATCCGAGGAACGTGCTGAGATGGGGCCTAGGAACTTGCATTTCTGCCAAGCTCCCAGGGCTCCACTGGTTGGCTTACATTCTGGTATTTTGCAGGGAACCTGCATTCAGTATGTATTTTTCTTAGCACTACCCATTATAAATACCCAGGAAGGGACTTCCTGTGTGACCTATACTGTGACAATCAAGCTTGGGCTGTAAGGTGCCCATTTCAGATGGGAAACTGAGGTGTAATAGTTTACCACAGGGGCCAAAGACACAGGGTTAAGCCAAGAAAATGTAGCCTCTTAGTGTTGCTTTCCTCCTCTATTACTAGGGAACCTAACACTCAGAGAGTGAGGGCAGGGAAGAGGAAGAAACAGAATACTCTCATCCTAACTGTAGTCCCGGTACCTCACCTGGCACACAGGGTGATTGGTGTGATTTGGGTTTTCTCAATCCTCTGCAAGAATGAGTCATCCCTGGCCAAAAGGCCTCCCTCCCCACCCAGGCCTGAGGCTGGTTTCCAATGAGTTACCGGCTAAGGTCCCCACCTCTCTTCTGCCACCTGTGCACACTGTAAACAGCTGGCTGGCTGGTGGGAGGGATGCTGTGGGGTTGAGGGCTCATTCTTTTCTTCACAAAGCCAATGGAGCCTGAGCAAAGAGATGAAAAGCACCCTGGCCTGGGAGGTAGGAAATGGAACATAGATACCTGGAAGCCACCAGCAGGGGGCAGGAGGTCAAAGGGCAGCTGCTTGCAGAAGCTAGGGGGTTCCTGTGAACTTCATGTCCCCTAATCTCCTGAGCCTCATAGTGATATGACGTGGGGAACACAAATGCCTAGAAGATGCCCAGTCTGACACTCTAGGATTCTGGGATGGACCCATAATCTTTATTGACTTAATTAATGTGAGTTTCATGTAACAATAATAGTCATTGTACCTTCTGACCTTGGGGACTCATATCTCCCAACAGAGCCTGGCAGTGTGCTCAGGAGGTTCTACAGGACTGGGGGGAGAGGGAGGATCGGGAGGGACCAGTGGTATCACAGATGGAAACTAGTTTCCCAAACCAGAGGGTCAGGTTAAAGCACCCTCAGAGTCCTGCACGGCTGTCCTCAGAGGCCTCTTCTCCTGGGTGTGGGGTGCAGTTCCTAGGAGGGTCCTGGACAAACATGAGCCAAGAGCCTCACCCTCTTCCCCCTCAAGAACATGCAATCATACTACTTGGCCTGGGCTTTGCTCCAAGATCCCAGCCCTAAGTGGAGAAGGCCAGAAAGCTCAGAGAACAGGGTAGGGATCTGGAGTCTATCTCAGCAGGCCTGTATTCCCTGAAGGACCTTGGGCGCCTGGCTGAGGGCTGAGTGAAAGTAGACAGCATAACCCTGGCATTCAGAGGTTTATCAGAGGACTGAAACAGGTGGATGATGGCTAAATTAATGCAATAATGAACTGGAGCCTAGGCAAAAGACAAATGAAAAAATAGATAGATTGGGATGACTGTATGGATGAGTGGTGGGTGGGTGGATGGATGGATGGGTAGATAGGTGGATGAATGGATGGGTAGATGGATGGATGGATGCGTGGACAGGTGGATGGACAGGTGGATGAATGGATGGGTGGATGGATGGATAGGTGGGTAGGTGGATAGATGAATAGGTGGACAGATAGATGAATAATGAATTAAGAAACTGGAGTCTAAAGAATAAGGAAAGGAATCCCAGAAATCTCCTTTCTCCTTTAGGGAAAACTGAGATTTCCAACAGTCAACTGGGGGAAGTTTCACACTATCACCAACAAAAATCAGGCCTGTGCAGCACCCTGGCTAACTGTGCTTAGATTCCTCCAAGTGACCTACCTGGCACGGAGGCAGGGATCTTAAATATCACGTATTTTGTCTTCCCCTTGTCCACAATGGATGTGCCCATGTTGAGAACATTTCCAGCCCCATCATAATGTGGGTGTGCTGTTGCCAGATTTATAGCTACATATTTACGGTAATCAACCTGCAAAATATGATATGACCTGGTCTTCAAAAGGGGAAGTGTGGAAACCCTGTACACACCTTATTGAATCTAGGTTCTGAGACATGATGGGTATTTTCACACATCTCCTAATGGGGGAATAAGACAGGATTTCCCTTTAAAGAGACTGTCTACTCTTGTGACTGAATGTGACCTCACACTGGGATAAGCTAGCCTAATTCTATAGGGGCCAGGTTTCAGGAGAGCTTGTTGTGAGTCTGCGTCCACCTGTTCATGGCATCCCTTCCCCTCCTGCATCCTGACCTTGTAGGTGTCCTCAGCATGGAGGCAGAATGGAGGCCTTACCACAATCATCTGGGCAGAGAGCTTCTGCAGGGTGTCCTGACTAAGTCATTTAGATTCCCCCTTTTATATTCTACAGAGGCACAGATATCCAGGTCTCTCTCCTAGTATGGTTCTGGGAATAGGAGGGGCTACAAAGCCCTTGGGTCAAAGCCAAACTCCACTAACGAGCTGAACAATGACCTCTGCTCTGAACAGGCCAGTCATCGAATGAGGAAGCCAGCTGTGCACTTCCTATCCCAGGAGAGCTCAGACACCAGTCAAGCTGGGCAGGGCTTTAGCTTCATCCTGCCCTTCCCAGCACTTCCTCGTTTGTGGAAAGTGTGCCTGTCTTGCTAGGCTGAAATGGAGCTGGGTATGATTTCCAGGCTGAGAAAAGCAGGTGTTCACATGTCTGTGAAGACGCCACAGCTCTGAATGGCAACTGGAGAAAACAGAGTCTAAGGATTTTTTTTTACCGGAATGTTGACTTGGTTCTTCTATGTTTACTTCTGTGCCCTAGTTCTCGGCCTAATGCCTCCCTCTGCAGGTTGGTATAGGTAGAGCCCCCTTGGGCCTAAGAACTATGGGCAATGATGATGAGGAGTTGAACTATCTCCCCAAAAAGACAGGTTGAAGTCCTTACCCCTGGCACTTGCAAATGTGACCTTATCTGGGGATAGCAATGCTAATCAAGTGGTAGATATCATCCAGTTAGGTTGGGGTCATACTGCAGGAGGTCGGCTGGAATCCGATGATTTGTGTGTTGATAAAAAGTGAGAATTTGAACATAAGAAACACATGACACAGAATGGCATATGGCGATGGAGGCAGAGATTGGAGGAGTTCGTCTACAAGGTGGAGATCACTAAGGATTGTTGGCAACCTAGAAGCTGGAAGAGAATGTTTCTCCCTTAGAACCTTCAAAGACAGGTTGGCTCTTGCTAACACTGATTTTAGACCTCTGGGCTCCATGACTGTGTTACAGGAGATTTCTGCTACTTCATACCATCATTAGACATACGTGTCTAATGATGGAGATAGGGACTAAGACACGGGTTGTATTGACATTATGGAATGGATTTATATGTCTGTCGCCAGGTATACAACCTAATGGTACTGCCAGGGTTTATGCATTTCATCATTGACTAAAACACAGTTATTGTGGCACATGGTTGTGCCACAAGGATGGGAATGATACAATCCCTGCCCTGGGGAGCTGAAAATTTCATACAAGGTGCTGGTCTACAGCAACCCATGCCCTCAAGCGGGGTCCATCCAGGGAGAGCCCTGTGGGAAGCTGAGCTTCCTCCAGGGGCCTCTTTCTTGGGTCAGGAAGGGATGCCAGCTACAGGCTTGCCAATACCTTTTCCAGGGTCTCCAGAGTCTGTGGGTTGATTTTCCTGATGTAGTTGGTCTCTGTGGTGGCATAGAAATCTTTCCCACACTTCATGATGTTGATCAGGCAGTTGTCTGTGAAATCAGGGATGGTGTGGGACAAGTAGGAGAAGGCTCTGGGGAGAAAAGCAGGTTATATCTAATCAAGATGGAAAGTTCTGCCCTACATGACTTTAGTCTTCCAGTTTTCAAACACTTTGCTTCAACTACTGGACAAAAAAAAAAGTACCCAGCCTCAGGTAATACCATATGGAGTGTTGTGAAGGATTGCTAGGGCAACATGGCCCACAACAGGTCCCTTCTGGGCTCTCGAAACTCCAAAGGTCTTCAACACCAGACCCAGTGGTTGCTGGTGGGTTATTTCTGAGAAATTCACAAAGCTCTTTGGAAATCATATAGGGATCCGTAATGGCTCCCTAAACCTAGCAAAACGGCTAATCTCAGCTTTATCCAGGAAGTGATGACTTAATAACTTATCATGCATTTGCTCAGAAGGCAAACTCAAAGCAAGCATGAAAACACAAAGAGGGTTAACTGGGACAAATGTCAAATACTGAATCCAGAGGTTGAGTAGTGCTCCCCCTGCTGACAGAGGGTGTAACCGCAAGAATGCTCTTGCAGGTTGTGGCTTTAAATTCCTTCCCTCCCCCTGCCTTTTCTTGCTGGCCCCTCCCCTGCTCCAACCCATGGGCTAGGGTGAGGTGCCAGGGAGAAATGATGTCAGCTCTAGAAAAGCAGAGGCAATCTATCACTGAACCCTTTCATAATTCCTCCATGTCTGGAGTATCAAAAAGGAGATAACAGGGTGTGGTGGTACATGCCTGTAACCCCCAGCTGTGGGTCAGACCACCAGAGGCAAAAAGAACCAGGCCTATCAGAAGAGAAGGAGCAAGCAAAAGAGACTAGGGGTGTGGCTCCAGACTAGGGGTGAAGCTGCCTAGCAAGCAAGAGGCTCTGAGTTAAAAACCCTAATGTCAATAAGAGACAGAGAGATGGAGACAGAGAAAGACAGAGACAGAGACAGAGAGACAGAAACAGGGACAGAGAGAGACCGTTGGCAAAGTACCCAATGACCTAACTTCCTCCATTAAGCCCCACCTCCTAAAAATCCTGCCAGCCCTGGCAGGAAAGTCCATGAGACTATCTCCAATTAACCAGCAAGAAGTCAAAAGTGAAGCTGTGGCTCAAGTGGTAGAGCACCAGCCTTTAGTGAAAAAGCCAAAGAAAAGTGCCCAGACCCTGAGTTCAAGCTTTAGAATGGATTAAAAAAAAATTCTGCCTTTTAAACACAGACTATAGCCTATCACATGCTCTTTCTAGGCCTTGCTTTTTTCTTCCTTCATACTTAACTTTGAAATCTTAAGCCAGGTGATGGTGGCTCACACCTGTAATCCTAGCTACTCAGGAGGCTGAGATCTGAGGATCATGGTTAAAAGCCAGCCTGGGCAGGAAAATCTGTGAGACTCTTATCTCCAATTAGCCACCAGAAAACTGGAAATGGCACCTGTGGCTCAAGTGTTAGAGCACTCCCCTTGAGCTAAAGAGCTGAGGGACAGTGCCCAGGCCCAGAGTTCAAGACCCACAACCAAAAAAAAAAAAAAAAAAAAAAAAGAAAAAAAAAGAAATCTTTCCTTACAGCATGTAGAAAGCCTTGCCACTCCTTTTCTTTCTTTCTTTCTTTTTTCCTTTCCTTTCTTTTTTCCTTCTTTTCATCTTTCCTTCCTTCCTTCTTTCCTTCCTTTCTTTCTTTCCTTCTCTCCTTCCTTCCTTTTCCCTTCCCCTTCCTTCCTTCCTTCCTTTTTTTTGTGGTACTAGGGAAGGACTTAGGGCCTTATACTTGCTTCCAGGCCAGCTCTGTCTCATTGCTTTTTTACTTAAGCACCACATTTTCTTGTTTAGTTTTACTGCTATTCATTTAATCATTTCTCTGTGGATGGATAGTTGGGTTGTGTTCAGTTTCTTGTTCTGACAAATGATGCAGCCATGAATAACTTTGTGCATTTGTCATTTCAGACATGAGTAAGTATATCTCTAGACAGAAGGAAATGTACATTTGTAATTTAGACAGATAATTCCAAACTGCTCCCTGACCAGGACAGTGTCTAATAACTTGTCAAATGCTCTTTGCCTTTCAAGAGATCAGTGAACAAGAATTATGTAATGTCTATGGGCAAAGGCCTGTCGTATAGAGTTTTTTGCTTATGTGGTGCTGAAGAATTGAACCCAGGGCCTCAAGCATGCAAGGCAAGCGCTCTACCACTGAGCCACCTTCCCAGCCCCTCGTATAGAGTTTTTATATACCCTAAAGAGGATTGTCAGAGGAACTACTGATGGCTTGTGGCCATCAAGGATGTTACAACACATGCAATGTGGTCAGGTTCTGCATGGGAAGTTACTTGGCAAAGATGTTTTTGCAGGGGTCTGGGTAGGCCATCGTTCCAAACTCCGACACCACGATCCTGTTGGCCTCGATATTGGCATTATAGGTGTCACTTCTTAGGTATTTGCTCCTGTAATAAACTTCACCTGAAAGAGGAGAGTCAGGTTAGTCCCAGGCCGGCACCTTTCCCAGGCTTACGATCCATGACAGCACGGGAAGGTTTTCACTGGGGACCACAACAGGGTGCTGTCATGAGAGCCGCTGTTTCAAGGAGCGCAGGGAGACTGATTTCACACACATCTCCTCACTGGAGCTCCATTTCCACGGGAGGGATCTGAGGCTCAGCAACATTCGGTCACCTGGCCCAGCATTGCCAGGCCATTGGCCACCCATCCTGCCATGTGTCCCTCCGGAGCAGGTACAGGCTTGGAAGCCTTTCCAAAGGCTGCATTTCCCTGGTGACCTGTAGCATCTCATCTCTTTTTAAACTGCCACTGCAGCCCCAACTTCCTGTTGAGGAAACTGAGGCTCAGGGAGATGAAGAGATGGGGCTAGGGGCAGAGGACCTAGGATCACGAGTTTGATGCCAGCCTGGGCTACGTGGTGAGATGCTGTCTCACAAATAAATCAATAATTAAAATAAAGAGGCCCTCGGGTAACTTCAGTGGAAAATTTCCACTTTAGACCAAACTAGGGAAGATTTTTAAGGCAAAACAAAAGCAAAAATGTAGGAAAAAAAAAAACAGCTTGTAACTTCCAGCAGAGACCAGTAGAAATGAGTACTTTAGAAGACAGAGAGATTATTGATCCCAGCCATCTCAGCAGGAGTTAAATACTGTGTGTGTGTGCACACATATGTGTGTGTTTGTGTACGCGCATGAGTGCACGTTCCTCTTCTGCCCTGAAAAAATATCAAACTTGACCTGGTTGATTCTGAGCAGGAGTGGTCTGTTTACTATGCTCCTGCAGAAGGAATTCGGCTAATTAGATGCTCTGGAGCACTGGGGGTGGGGGTGGGGGTGGGGCTTGGTGACTCCCTCTTAAGTCTCGGCAGTGACAGGCTTGAGCAGTTCCAGACACATTTTTCTAGGCTTCTCAGCTCCTGCTTCCGCAGCTGCCTGTGTATGGGAAACTGGCCGCCTGGGCTGAGAGTTTACATTTCAAGTGGAAAGAATTCAGCCTTTCACACTAAGTATCCCCTTCTCTCCTAGCCCTCATGCTCAAGCATCTTCGCAAAGGCTAAGGGATCGCCGGAGAGTGACCAGAGAAGGACGGGCTGGCCTCTGCCCCTGTGTGGCTCAGGACTGAGGCCTCAAGTTCTCTGCCCCCAGGACTTTCCCGGACCGCGCAGAATTTCAGCAGCCTTCAAGTGTAGACTGTGTACCAGTGAACCAGACACCCAGTACCCTCTCATCTCTTTTCACTACTACTACAACCTCCAACTTCCAGTTGGGGACAGTGTGGTTCAGTGAGATGAAGAGATTGGTCTAGGAGCACAGGTCTCTCGTTCCATGCTGAAGATAATATTGGATCAGGGTCCCTCCTTCTGGAACCTCCCATCACATGGCAGAGGACTAGCCAACTGACCCATGCTGTGCAGAGCAAGCATGTACCCCAGAACCCTGCCTCGTTCAGGAAAGGCAGCGTTCTACTTGCTCATGCCTGTAGTCCCAGATACTCAGGAGGCTGGCTATTGTGTGGAGGACCTTATTTGTTTTCTACATGGCCTCCCATTTTATTGGTGGCTAGTCCAGTGTGTCAGGATGGCACAGAGGGACAGAGAGAAGGGAGGAGGGAGATGAAGGAGGAAGGAGAGAAGAGAGACAGAAAGAAATCTATCTACCTATCTATCTATCTCTCCATCTATCTATCTATCTCTCCACCTATCTATCTCTCCTGTGCTACTGGTTTTGGTGAAAGACATGGAACTATAAGCCAAGGAGTACACAGGCACTTTCTAGAAGGTAGAGGAGACAAAAAATATGGATTCTCCTGCACAGCCTTCTCTATGACTATGGCCAAGTGAGACCCATATTTAGGCGTCTGGCCTCCAGAATTGAAATGAATCCATCTGTGTTGCTTTTAGGCCATGAAGTTTGTAGTCAACAGCAAACTTGCCCAGCATCCTCACCGTCTCTGATGGAGAAGCTGTGGAGCAAGGCCAGGCCGTCAAACCAATGGTTGTATCTGCTCTCTCCCACCGTGTGCATCCCAGGCCCATTACGCAGCAATGTCCCCTGAAGCCATGGTGGGATCTTGCCTGTTAACAGAAAGAATGTTGAATCTCCAGATTCTACAGTCTCACCAAACCAAAGCAAAACCCCAAAACTTGAGGAAAGTACCATAGAAGGGAATAGAGCCATATAGCCACAATCCTACTAAGCACTTCTGTTCCTTTATCCTAGACAGTGGATAGTAAGCATGGAATTTGACTACCACTGAATTGCTGAGGTGAGTGGACACAATCTCTGCGCTCTTCTGTATTCGAAGAATAAATGGACATTTGAAATACACAGTGATAGAGGCCATTCTACAGGCCCACCAAGGGTGCTGTGTACAAGACCTTCTCAGGCAGGGTGGACTGTGAGAGAGAGGCCTGGCAGAGTCTTGAGGGAGAATGTTTGTGTCATAGAGAGGTAAGAAAGACATCCTAGAGGTCTGCCCTACGGTGCAGTAGTAGTAGCCGGAACCACAGCCATGAGTCCTGGGTTGGGATTGAGCAGGAACTGAGATGCACTGCAAGGAAATAATATACACTGGGTTTTTAAAGTCTTAGCAGACAAAAAGGAAGACATCTCACTTGCAAGTTTTTTGTATTAATTTCACTTTGAGCAGATAAGATTTTGGATATGTTGTCGTATATCAGTTTTACGACTAAAATTAATTTTACTAATCTTACTTAAAAAAAACACCTTTTTCAAAATGTGTCCTGGGAAACTTAAAAGTATTCGGCATGTGCTATTGTCTATTGGACTGCGAGTGAGTGCTCTTCTAAGTCAGGGTCCTGCTGGTGTGGTGTCCAAGGTCCTGGTCCTCTCTGAAGGCTGCTGCTCTGGGATAAACCAGAGCCTTGGCCTGCCTGCCCTGGACAGGTGTGTCAACACAAGCACCAGCTTTTATTAGCTGTCTGCCCACAGTTGGTGGCCAACTGATTGGGCTTGACCAGGGCTTGAGGCCTGGCCAGGGGGTCAGACCAACTTCTGCTTGCTGCCTGGCCTCAGACAAATCACTGTCCCTTTCTCACCTCAGCTTCCATTCTGTTAAGTCAGGAGGCTTGAACTAGAGAGGGCCTTGCACTTAAAAGCACCCAGTGGAACTTGTGAAGACTTGTTTGTTTGGCTCTACCATGGACCTGGGGGAGGGACATGAAAATCTGTGTAGCCACTGAGTGACTAGGCCCCTGGTCCCAGAGCTCCTGTAGGGCACTGCTGGGCCCATTCAGCCTCTCAAACTCTAGGATTCTGGGGGTAGGGGTGGAATTGATGGGAAGGCAGGGATGGGAAGGGGAAACAAAGGAGGAGGCAACAATGCTTGATAAGAAATGTACTCATTACCTTGCTCGTGTAATTATAACCTCTCTGCCCCTCTGTACGGTATTCACAATTAAAAAAAACTTATTAATAAAAAAAATCAAAAACAAAAAAACCCCCAAAACTCTAGGATTCTGGTTTTCTAACATTTCTTTTTTTTTTTTTTGCCAGTCGTGGGGCCTGAACTCTGGGCCTGGGCACTGTCCCTCAGCTCTTCAGCTCAAGGCTAGTGTTCTACCACTTGAGACACAGCGCCACTTCTGGCCTTTTCTGCTTATGTGGTGCTGAGGAATTGAATCCAGGGCCTCATGAATGCAAGGCAAGCACTCTACCACTGAGACACCTTCCCAGCCCTGGTTTTCTAACAATTTTAAGGATTTCCATACAGTCACTGAACACAAGACAGAAAATGGCATGGTGAAAACTTCCTGGCATTCCAGGGCACAAACCCCTAGCATTACAGGCTTCCTCACCTCCTTTGGTGGTCCTGGGATTTGAATTCAACATCTCATAGTTGTAGGTACTCTGTCACTTGAGTCACACCCCCCAGGCCTTTTTTTTTGCTTTATTTTGAGACAGGATATCACATTTATGCCCAGGACTGTGATCCTCCTATTTAGGGTTTTCTGTGTAGCTGGAATGAGAGGCATGGGCCATCATGCTCAGCTCCTTTTGTTTGAGAGGAAACATTTTGTTGGCCTCAAATAGTAATCCTCTCCATTTTAGCCTCTCAAATATTTAGGGTTATAGTAATGAAGCACCCAGTCTGGTGTTGGGCTTCTTTTTTATAAATAAAAAATAATATTATTAAATGTATTTGTATGCTGAAAAACTATTTACATTTTCAAGTATAATATTTACACCTGTTTATATTTCTCAAAGATACAATATCCATATCTGTCTTATAAAAGCTTAAAGGAAATAGACCCCTGATAATAGTAGTACTTAAAAGTTAGAAAAACTAGGAGAGAGTGAGGGAAGAGGTGATATTGTGCAAAAAGAAATGCACTCATTTCCTGACTTACGTAACTGTAACCCCTCTGTACATCACCTTTATAATAATATAATAAAAAGCTGGAAGTATAGCTTTGTATTTCCTTCTTTTTTCTAATTTATATGTATAATTCTTATATGTAATTTAAGACACATGCATGCACACACAGTTACCATTGGCTGTGATACATAGAAGGGATTTTTCCCTCCAAAGGTACATCCTTGGCTGACAAGTTCCACCCATCTTTCATAGCCACACTCGCAGTCCTTACAAAACAGTAAAAACAAAACATCTCCATTCAGCCAAGGAGCGCCATGCTGGAGCCAGAGATCTCAGAACCAGGACTGGCCTTCAGATTCTAGACAAGATGGCTGCAGGAAAGTAGCAGGCAAAAGAGAAGACAGTCAGAGATGTAGCAGAAGAAAGAACTGAGACACAGGTCCTCTGAAGATTCATCCTCAGTAGCCCTCTGTGGGTCTCCTCCATCCACTCCACATACTGAAATCACACCTGTGGGCACCCAAGAGCAAGGTGCATCAGCCGCCACATGTGCGTGGTGGGAAGAAATTATTTAGGGTGCATATATCTGCAAAACACCATGCATCTGGATCAGGTGGCGCTTTGTTGACTCCCAATTCCTGTTCAGCAAAGGGAGCATAGCCAACATTTTTCTCTTGGAAATAGTGAAAACAACTCTCTCCTCTTGGAATCTGAATTATAATGTGTAAAACGTACTGAGATCACTACAGAAAATGCATCTGGATTATGGATTTGTTTCATCCCTTGTATACTGTTTTCCAGGCTTTCCCCAAACAACTTGGAGCAAACAAAACAGATGTCGGCCTAACAGAAGAGCCCATCTCTTACACAAAATACTCACCTGTCACCTTGGCCCTTACAGGCTCCAGCTGCTCTTTCTTATTCTTACCAAATATTATATCCATGGAGCCAGTGGTAGAGTGAGAATTGGTCTTAGCGGGAATCGACCTGCGATCCTGTGTGCTGAAGGGAGCTGTCCTGGTTCCTCTGGCTTTGACTTTTTGCTTTCCCTACCCTTGGATCTTTCACATGTCTGTCCTTCCTAATCCCATCTCTTTCCCCTCTCTCTGAGTGTCTGGTATCTCTGCTCATGTCTGGCAGAGTTTATAAAATGTTTGGTCAAAGGTCAGTTCCCAAGCCATGTGTTAGGGCTAATCTTTAACTCTCTGCTTTCCCCCTGACTCTTTCTTTCTACTCTCACTCCTGGCTTGTTTCTGAATGGGTGAAGAGACTCAGTGCATTTTGCTCTGTTTGGTCATCAGAAGTAATCCAGCCCGGAAGCTGGAGAGGTTTGTGAGGGAACAGAAAGAGAGATCTCAGGACCAACAAAGCACTGAGATGGCACCAATATCATGATCATGCCAAAGCTTGCTGCCCAAAGGGGGTCACCCACACAGAGGGGGTTAATTTGATTTTGTTTTTCATAAAGGGCCCCAATTACTCCCCTCAAAAAATTATGTAAAGAACAACTTCATTCATTCATCTCTTTTTGAAAAGAGGAAATATAAAAATGAGTCATGTAACTGTTTCAAGTAATAAAGACTTTTCTGGGGAACTAAAGAGTAAGTAGTAAGACTCAAACCTCAGCCCAACAAGAGGGTAGGCTGATGATATTCATGTATCTTTTAAAAATTGTTATTATAAAGATGATGTACAGAAGAGTTACCCTTTTTTGTCTTGTTTATCTGTCTTTGGGGGGTAAGGAAGACATAGAAATCTAGGGACAAAGGGAACAAAGGCAGCAATGGTACTCAGTAGACACTACGTCAAAAGCGAATTATACTACTTTTGGGTGGAGATGGGAGAGACGAATGGAGAGAGCAAGGGAAGGGGTGACATTGTCCCAAAAGAAATGTACGCCTGTCCTATGCCTGAACTACATGCACACTATTCTCCATTGCAAAGTGTCAACTGAAGTCAGCCTCCCCTCCCCCCCCCCACAGAGAACACACCATATTTGGTGAGGGTGAAAGATAACTCTGAGACTTCAGAAGGACAGGGGAGAAGGCTCACCTTCCTTCAGGATGCTGATTCCCCAGGATGTGCTGAGCCTGCAGACAGCCCCGACACTCAGAAGTAAGAACTGAAATCAAAGAGGAAAGCTTTGAGGGTTATTAAAAAATAAAGCAAACAGCCTTATTTTGCAATTCTCTATCTCTTGTTACAAAGTTATTGCCTAAAACCAGTTAATATTTCCCTTCTGGAGATAATGTTTTCATATCTAAATTACTTTGCGATTTTCCAATTAAGTTAACTCCTGAATGTTGCCTCTAATTAGCCAGGGTGATAAATGGAGCAGATAACATTGAAATCAGCGATAGCAGGGTTCAAGGTGATGGACAAAGTCCTGGTGGAGGTGGCAGTGGGCCCCCATCATGAGAAAACAGGTTGATGGGCGAGGACAGACAGCCTCTCGCTCGTCTCTGCCTCCGTGTCCACGGGACAGTCTTCTCTCTTTGGGTCTGTGTCCAGACATCTCTCTTCCTGCTGAAACTGGAGTTTCAGGCCAAACTACAAGCGTTTTCCTTGCCTCCATTCACCAAATAAAGAGTGGTGGAGGGTGAAGAAAGATTTACAGGCATGAACACAAAGTGGGATGGGGCAAAGTAAGCATTTCGATCCATTTCTGGGTACGGACATGAGCTTCAGATTTAAGAAGAGGAAGATTCAGGACGTGGGGTGGGAAGTATACATACTGATTCCTCAGTGTCGGTCTGACTAGGGCCTGGTTGATGCTCGTTGAGGGGTCGGGGAGATGTCATTTTTGCTGTCATCTCTTGTGGGGTGCAATCTGGTCAGGGCAGAGTCACTGAGGCCAGGTGAGCTACCTGTCCTGTGCCGGCTCTGCTGTTTCTTTCCTTGGGGACCGTTTTCATCTCTCAGTCTGTCCTTCCTGGATTTATCCGAAATGACTACAGAAAAGACTGACTCCGATACAAAGGACACAGGCAGTAGAGAGGTGGAGATGCGATGCCAAGCTTTCCTCTTGCTTTTAGGTCATTCATGGGCCCAAAGAAGGAGTCAGCGCTGTTTAGCAAAGGGCGTTTTCAAGTACAGTACCTGTTACACTGTAAGGACATCAGTTAGTGAATGGGGTCCACTCTGCTCTGACCTGGCTTCGTCTCCTCTCAACCATCAGTCTGTAAAGCACCAGAAAATAGGACTCAGAACAGATCGTCCTGAGGGACACCATTCAATCCATCACCCTGAGCAAAACAACTTAACGGTGGACAGGGAAGAGGCAAGCTGTGGATTTATCCTTGCAAGTCTCTTAGTCTTCCAAAGTGGGTTGTTACCTTTGAATAGTGCTAAGATGGAAGTAGTCAGATTGTTCTGAGGCTAGAGAAGAGGTGGCCACTAGCACTTGTGAGGCTCTGGAGAAGTGGCTGATGTCTGAACTATGCTGGAGGGGTAAGGGAGGGAGAAGAAGGTAAGCATAAGCTAAAATGGGTAGAGTCCCTGACTGGAATATCCAGGCCCCAGGACATAAATATCCTTATGGTTCTTTTTATGGTCACATTTCCCTGTTTAGAGCAAACTTGCTGTCTCTCTGTTTTCCCATCACTGATCCCACATGGAGACCCATGCACATGGCATCTCTACGCCCTGCTTACTTGCCACGTGAGCTGCACAGACACAGAGGTGAAGGGACAGTGGGAGTTGACACCGCCAAGATGAATTCTGTGCCTGGGAGCCCTGTCACTTGTCAGAATGTAAAGAATTCAAAAATGGAATTCAGCCTGCAGATTTGCACTTGTTATCAACTGTCTCCAAGCATGGGCCATTAGGGACATAATTGAAGCCTTTACCCAGGAGATAGATATATTATCACTCTGTGGCCTTCCACATAGTTTCCTAATGGACCTCATTAGAAGTTTGGCCTTGAGAGATAACAGGCCAGTTCTGCCCAGCCTGTGAATCAGCAGTGACACCACGTCCTGCCTGGTGGCTGACGCTGTCCGTCTTCTGTCTGCCAGAGCCACATCAGAGGGTGCAGAGGGGTTTCTAGGAAAGGAAGAGGGAGAGGGGCAAGGATCAGCCGAGGAGCTGGGATATAGGGCCAAGCAAATGTTCATTGAACTACCCATGGATAAACAATGTTCATTGTCTCTTCATGACTGGATAGACAGAGATGAAATGTTTTACTCTTTCTGAGAAACTCTGGGTGTCCAATAACTAAATGTCCACCAACTGAAGACCAAGAAAGAAAGTATGCACACACAATGAGATCAAAGGAGAATGTTCTTAGGACACAAAGGCACAATGCCTATGTGCATCTGACCACATAAAATAGTATTTATCAAGCTGGGCGCCAGCGGCTCCTGCCTATAATCCTAGCTACTCAGGAGGCCGAGATCTTAGGATCATGGTTTAAAGCCAGCCTGGGCAGGAAAGTCTGTGAGACTCTTATTTCCCATTAGCCACCAGAAAACTGCAAGTAGAGCTGTGGCTCAAAGTGGTAGAGTCTAGCCTTAAGCAAAAAGGCTGAGGGACAGCACCTAGGCCCTGAGTTCAAGTCCCATGACTGACCAAAAAAAAAAAAAAAGGAAAAGAAAAAAATTATTGAGCTCAGGAAATGGAAACATTTTTCTTGTTGCTGTTTTTGCTTTCTTTGCTTTGTTTATCTGTCTTTGGGATGGCAAGAGGGGAGCACGCAAATGGAGGGATAAAGGGCGAACGAATGCAGCAGTGGTACTAGCTAGACACTATGTTGAAAATGAACCAAACAACTTGTAGATGGGAATGGGAGGGGAAAACTGGTAAAAAGCAAGGGAAGGGGTGACATTATCCAAAAAGAGATGCACTCTTTACCTGACTTATGTAACTGTGACCTCTGTACATCACCTTTATAATGACAAGTTTAAAAAGTAAGTATGGTGGGTCCACATGTAGGAGCATAGAGTTCACAAGGCAGTGTGAACAGCTGAGTTCGCTGAAGTCTCTGGCCATACAAAACACTGTTCACACACACACACACACACACACACACACACACACACACTTTTTTTGTGTGTGCCAGTACTGAGGCAAAATAAATTCTGTAGGACATTCTTAGTGCCCAGCAGGGCATGAGTGATAATGTGACAAGTCGGAGGGGCCCGAGTGTCCATTATGATTTCAGCCACAGTGGGGACAGGACAGTTATCATCTGGGCACAGCTGCCATCCCATGCCACATGATTACATCTGAGCCCTCTGTCTTCACCTTCCCGTGACTCACCCTCCTGTCCACCTTCTTTTATCACGTAGTTCCCAATTGCTCCTGGAGCATTTGGCCCTTGGTAATGGTATAAAGTCAATAGGCAGGAATTTGTTGTTGTTGTTTTTTAATCCAACACTAACAGTTAGCTGAATGACAGGCAGACAAGTGATTCAGCCGCCGGGGCTTTCTCTAGAAGACCATTGTGAATTAATTGGCTTTGAAACAGGCATTGAACCAAGAGCTGGAGGAAGCGAAAATGTAAACTCATTCATCCTGACTCTATTGTCTCTCAGACAAAAGAGAGTTGCTATTATATGATGCCAAGAGAAGGGAAGATGGATGGACATGGCTGTGCTGGTGAGAGAATATGAAGGACCCAAGAGTGCGTGCCACTGGCAACCCTAGCATGGGTTCAAAGATGAAGGTGGCATGCTTGTTGCTCTTGGGGCTCACCCTGAGGTTTGGGGCCACCATTGTGAAGCCGGAAGAAGGTAGCTTTTGCTCTAAGAGCCAGGTGGCCTTCAGAGATGCTTGTTATGAATTTGTACCACTTGGACGTACGTTCCATGGGGCCCAGGGCTGGTGTGAAGGGCAGGGAGGCCATTTGGTCTTCATTCCAGATGAAGGTACCCAGCAGTTTCTTCAGATGCACATCTCCCAGGACAGAGAATGGTGGATTGGACTCACAGGAACCTCAGCACCCAATGGGACCTCAGCAGGTAGGTGCTGCATCGCTGTGTTTTGCCGGTAGCTTATGATACAGATCGATCGTCACCATCACTTTTTACCCAGGTATTCCTTGGAGCAAACTAATACTCCAAATTCTCATGGTAAAGATACCCTTCTCTTTGATCATTTGTGGATCACATGAGAGAATTCATACATAGTATATAGCACAGAAGGTAGAAATATCCATCTGCATCCATCTTTTTGTGTTTGGAATGAGGTAGGGTGGGCTAGAGATTGAACCCAGGGCCTGGTGCCTGCTAGACAAGACCCCACTGAATGACAGCTCCAGACTTGCATGTACATAGTTCTAGCTGTGATTCCTTCAGTTCCTGCTAGAGTAGCACTGGGCACTACTCTCCAGGCTTTGTGACCATTATTTTGTTGATTGTTACAATAACCAATGGGAAAAATGATCATTGTTTTCCTCGTGAGCAAACAATCTCAGATAATAATGACCTAGCTATTTTAAAAGTATACAGATAATAATGACCTAGCTATTTTCAAAGTATACCGACACGTCTTAGTCATTTTTATGAGATTAGAGCAGGTCAGGAAGCCAACTGGGGGGAACATGCCTAGAACCCAGCTACTCAACAAGAGAAGGTAGAAGAACTATGAGTTCAAGACTGGCCCTATATCAAAGACAAAATAAAATAAGCTGGGTGCTGGTGGCTCATGCCTATAATCTTAGCTACTCAGGAGACTAAGATCTGAGGATTGCAGTTCGAAGGCAGCCCAGGCAGAAAAGTCATTGTGAGATTCTTATTCCCAATTATACTAGCCTTCAGTACAAGAAGGCTCAGGGACAGCACTCAGGCTCTGAGTTCAAGCCCTACAACTGACAAAAAAAAGACAAAATTAAATTTAAAAATAGTTGAAAGCATAGCTTAAGTGGTAGAGCACTTACCCAGCAAGGGTGAGGAAAGGAAGAAGGTAGGGAAGGAAGGGAGGGAAGATCAAGTGCTTTGCACAGCTCCAACTCACAAGATGTCATTTTACTTCTCCTGAAACTCTCCCTTCCCCTCCCCTCCCCTCTGCTAGGGCTTCCTCCCAGACCCCAACAGCCAGGTGAGTCTTTCTCTCCTGTGTACCTGTGGAACTCTGGCGCTTCCCACAAGAGCACTCTGGCATGGTGGAAATGGTTCAGGCATCTAGACTATGAGCCCTTTGACAGAAGAAAGCACATTCAAAAGTAGACAGAGATACATTTACATTTAATCCTTATACTCACCCAGGAAGTAGGCATGGCTACTCTTGTTTCGGAGGTAAGACACAGAGATGAATTGAGTTGCTCCAGTGTCTTCAGCAACTCCTAAGTCTGACTTCTGCCCCATCGTCCTGGGGCTCAGGGACTCTCCTTGCTCCTGTAGAAGCTGCTGGGGTTTGGAAATGGGTATCTTGGTCCCTGCTGAGCACCCACAGGCGTCTACCAATGGATATGGAAGAGTTTGAATAAACCAGTAGCCAAGGAAACTCACATAAGGAATTCAGAGCCAAGGGATTCAAATTCTTAAGACACCTTTTTGTAAGACATGTGTTGAACGGTTTCTTGACTTCTAGATGCAACAATTGGGACTCTGCGGGCAGTGAACAGCTATTCGTGTACAGCGAAAGCAGCTGGCTGACTCCCAAGGGATACTGGGAGCTATTACAGAAAACAATGCAGCTTTACCTAGGCTGATAGGAAGCACCTGAAAGATTTAACTCGATTTAAGAAGCAAGGACCAAAACCCAGTGAGCAACACAATAGCATTTACATAAATAGATTTCAGGCACTCATAAATGCTAATATGTGGATCAGAGTCAGCCGACAATGATTTACAAGAAACCCAATAATGGGAGCAGCCGAGAGAGGTTGAGAGAGGGAAGAGGTTTGCATTTTGTATTCTTTCATACGATTTGACATTTACAATTGCTGCATGCATTTTCTTGTCAAATCAAACAATTACATTCTGAGTCTGTCTACCCTTCCTCCTCCCACTTGGGATTGAACTTGGAGCTTTCCCAATACTAAGCAAAGGTTTTGCCACTGAGTCATGCCCCCAACCCTCTTGTTTTTCATTTTGTTTTGGAGATGGTCTTGTGAACTACATTTGCTTTTGCTGATCTTGAACTTGAAATCATCCTGCCGCCATCTCCTGGTGATAGGGACTACAGTCATGTGCCACCATGACAGGTTTTTAAATATTGTGTGTGTGTGCGCACGCATATGTGCACGCATACACACACAGATCCTGGATGGAGCTTGAACTCAGGGTTTAAGTGTCAAGGCTAGTGCACTACCACTTGAGCTACAGCTCCACTTCTGGCTTTGCATAGCTTATTGGAGGTAAGAGTCTTACAGACTTTCCTGCCCAGGCTGGCTTCAAACCACAATCCTCAAATCTCAGCCTCCTGAGTAGTTAGTATTATGGACATGAGCCACCAGTGCCCAGCTATATATCTATATATATGTCAGCGATGGGGCTTGAACTCAAGACCTGGGCATTGTCCCTGGGCTTTTTTACTCAAAGATGGTACTCTACCACTTTGAGCCACAGCACCACTTCCAAGTTTCTGGTAGTTAATTGGAGATAAGAGTATCAGGGACTTTCTTGCTGGGGCTGACTTTGAACTGTGATTCTCAAATCTCAGCCTCCTGAGTAGCTAGGATTAGAGCCATAAGCCACTAGTGCCTGGCCCAGCTTTAAATCTTAACAATAAAGCTTTACAGCAATATTTTCCAGGCTCTGAGGCAAGGTGAGTGTATTCTACCTGAACTCAGGCCTATCCAAACACATCTGAGCAGGGACCCTGCTTCAGAGTGTCATGCATGTGAAGGTGCACAGCACAGGCTATGACTGGACAGTGCTGGAGGTGTTATTTACACGTCGGACCGCCTGATGCTTGCCCTTCAATGTGGAGTCCCAATGCTTATATCTGAACATGTGAAAATGGGAAGCGTGGACTCCTACTGGCGAAGGGAAGATCCATCTTCATAGAAGTTGAGTTGGAGCAAGCCCACCATGTTGAAGTGGCTAAGAGAGGAAGCCTGGTGGTTCTATTCCCATCCCAGGGCCCGGGACATGGTTGGACACCTCAAATGTGAGCTACAGCAACTGGCAAGGCAGCCAGGCGGCACCTGCGCCCCACAGCTGTGGCTACATCAGGAGAGGCCCCTCCTCTGACTGGGCAGTGTCAGAGGACTGCACCGAGGCCTTTGCCTTTGTCTGCGAGTTTGGTGAGCTGGCCTGTTGGGGGATCTCTCCCCTGCCCCCTTCCCGCCTGCTTGTCTGTAACTCCAGCTTCATCTCTACCTCTACCTGGGGCTTCCAGATGTCTGCCCTTCACTTTCTGTCCCTCCTTCTCTGTCTCAGGTTTCCTTTGGCCTTTCTTTTCCGTTCTCCTTAGCTCTCTGGATCTCTCTGTCTCTATACCCCGTAAAAAAAAATCTCTTTGTGGATCATATCATTTCCATAGCTTTGCCCTTCTGGATTTCTGTCTCCTCTCTCCATTTAAGTCACTGCCCATTTACATATTTTTAATTTCCCCTCTGCTTTTCTGGAACATTCTTCCCATCTCTGCTTTCTGGCAACCTCCCTCCCAATTTCTGCCCATGTGATGTACCATATCTCCCTGATCCTGGCTTCTTGTCTCCAGATGCCCACCCCCTCCCCCTCGTCCTTGCACCTCCCAGTCCTGACCCCTGCGACCTCTGCACTTTTCCATCCATCAGTGCTGTGAACCCCCTAAAAGGTCTCCTTCCTTTTGCCACAGGGGTTGGCCAGAGCCTGGCCTGTGAGGGCTTCAATGCCACCATGCACTGTGGCTCAGGAGAGGTCATCCGGATGCAGGATGCCTTCTATGGGCGGCAGACCCCCTATTACTGCACCCAGGGCACCTGGGGTCCCTCAGACCTGGAGGAGGAATGCAGCTGGGCCAATGTCAAGGAGGAAGTGGCAGGTAAGTCCCAGAGCTCCCCGCTCCTTCTGGAGCAGAGTGTAATTGCTGGACTTCTGGATCCAGAAAAGGGTCTAGAAGGCTCTATTCCTCTCCAGCTATGACTGTAGCTTCCCCCAAGGGTGGGAAGACTAGCCAGTCTCCATCAAAAGCGCTGAGCTGGAAATCAGAAGCTGATCCACGACATACATCAAACCCAGACTGTCGGGCAGGGAGGTCTCCACCCCTCCCCTTCCCGAGGGCAGGGAACAACTTGGCCTATTAAAAAAATGGAAACTCTTCAAACACATTGATAAGATTAGAAATAAATTGCCACAAACTCCTTGAGAGCCACTTCTACCTTTGTTAGATCTTCACACTATGTGACACTGGTTTCAGACTCTCAGGAAAAAACAAACAGGAACACAGCATTGAAAGGTTCCTACTGTAGAGCCCTCCCGGTCCTGTTTCTGCCACAGATTCAGCGCCGATTAATGGCTCACATGGCTCTCTATTCTGCCTTCAAAACATCGTATAGTATTGTTTCCAGAAATGGTACCATCTTGCATGTGTCATTCTGTGATGTGTCTTCCTTAACATTGATTTTTAAGGCGTATGGTTTGTCTTAATGCCTACTGTTCTATTTAATTCAATCTATCTTTTGTGAAACTGTGCCATGCATTGTCCGTTGCCTGTTGAGAGGTGGATGGGTGGTTTCTCAGTCTTTGCCATTGTGCGGAATGCTGGGGCTGACATTGTATCTAGCACTGTTATCCAAGTGGGAAGGTTCCTCTAGGGCTTTGATTTTCTAAACTAGATGAATTCTCCTCTGAGCAGTGTGACAAGTTTCAGGGATTATTGGGGCTCTCTGAACCCTTTGGGGATGTGCGAAGTCCTGAGACTTCATCAGCCAGGACACAGGGGAGCCCTCTGCTGCATGCTCGGTGCGTGCTTGTCCCGTCCACAGAGACCCAGCAAGGCAGGCTGTCAGCGGCTGCTCACCTCAGAAGGACGCAGCAGTTGTGCCCAGGCTGGGAGCCTTGGGCCTGGGCTCCCACAAATGACCCTCAGAATTTCCCTTCTAGGCTTTGCTGCTACCCAAAGATCCCCTGAAGATTCAGGGATTGAAGCAAGATCCTCCCTGAGCTTTCTCCCACTCAGAGTGTCATGGCTCATCTTCCTTGGAACTGCCCCTTGCTCCTCTCACCTCCACCTGTCCACCATGTTGTCCTCGCCCCCCTCAGGGCAGGAATGGGGAAACAAACTGCTCTATCAGCTCGTTGGTTCTCAGCAGCTCTCCTTGGGGGGGGGGGGGGGGTGCACGGAGGAAGGCCTCAGGTGGCTGGTCTGATGGAGGAGCTTCCCTCACTGTGGCACAATACAGCTAGGCAGGCTGTTTTCAAAAAGGATCACCTGTTAAGATTTGGAAACGAGCAGCCATACCTAAGGAGCACGTTGGAGACGATGCCTGCACTCTGCTGGGAAAAGTCAGCAGAGAAGCCCTGGGAGGACCTAGGGATCCGTTCATTCCTAAGTACCCTGATCATGCATTCATGAAACAGGCCAATAAACATTTATTGAGTATGGACATGATGCCATGTACTGACCTGGTCTCTGGACGTAGGCTGAATCAGTCTGTCTTTCAAAGGGCCCAAAGTCCACAGAGGAGGTATGTCTGTACAGGCAGCCACCTAACAGTAGTAAAGGAAAGCAAAAGGTACCCTGTATTTACTTGTACAAAACGTATCTGTACCACGTTGTGCCAGGCTGGTTTCTATGTTGGCTGGCACAGCAGTGAGCTATGAACATGACATGGATAAAAGCTCCCACTTTTTGGGAAATAGATGGATAGTGTTATGGATGTTCACAGTAGGAATACCCAACTCAGGCTGAGGGGGTATCCTGCTGGGCAGCATTAGCAATCATGCTGAGGGCTGTGCATGTAGCTCAGTGGTAGATGCAAAGCCTAGCATGTAGCCCTAGGTTCAATCCTAGCAACACACACACAAACACACACAAACAGCTACTCAGAAGAATGATTTGAGGCCAGTGTAGGTAAAGAAGTTAGTGAGAGCCCATCTCAACCAATAAGCTATGATGGAGGAATAAATAGGAGAATCACGGTCCAGGCCAGCTCAGGCAAAAATATGAGAAGAGACTCTATCTGAAAAATAAAGGATGGGGACATAACTTAAGTGGTAGAGGGTCTACCTAGTAAGTATAAGGCCTGGAGTTCAAACCCCAATACCACCAAAGCAAAGACAAAACCAGAGAATCAATTCTTTTTTTTTGGTCGGTCGGGGCTTGAACTCTGGGCCTGGGCGCTGTCCCTCAGCTCTTCAGCTCAAGGCGAGCGCTCTACCACTTGAGCTACAGCGCCACTTCCGGTTTTCTGGTGGTTTATTGGAGATAGGAGTCTCACGGTCTCTCCTGCCCGGGCTGGCTTTGAACCGCGATCCTCAGATCTCAGCCTCCTGAGTAGCTAGGATTACAGGCGTGAGCCACCAGCGCCCGGCATCAGAGAATCAATTCTTACAAATGTTTTGAGCTGCATACAGTGACACATGCCTTGGGAAGGGTTGGCATGAGAACTACTTAAATAGCAAGGAGATCAGGCACAGCCCGGGCAACAGAAGTTCCACCTTTAAAAAACTTAAAAGAGACAGAATGCTAGGCCTTTTAACAGAGGGGATTTAATGTGAGGAGATTGTTTTCCAAGTCATACAAGTGCTGGGCAGCCCAGCAGGCTGGCACGTCACCCTGGTTCCTGCAACTGTGGTAGGATGAGATACCACACTCATGAATATGTCAACCCACGAGCCACGGGGCCTCTTCAGATGTGGTGAAGGTTGCTACTCATCTGGTTTCCAGATGGAAGATTATTTGGGATCATTTAGATGGACGTGAAGAGTAGACAACTGAACATAGAATTCAGGAATTTGAATTAAATGAAGCAATGGGAGACGTAGACTTGGAAGTCGTGGGCATGTAGTTAATAACAGGACACAGTGAAAGCAGGCAGGAATTCAGGCCCAGGAGAGCTTTTGGGGCTGTGATGGTGGGGTATTTAAATATTTCAAAGCCTGGAGCAAACCTGAGTTTCCAAGAGGATACTCTCATGCCACAGTGTCTGCTCGGCCCCTCCTTCTAGACCCCTTCGCAGGCATCTACCACATGAGCAGGAAGGAGGGGAACTGGGTGACTGTGGAGCTCCTGGCGTGGATTCCCTATGCTCCTTCCTTTCATCACCACCTTGAACCCTGGATGAACACAGGATTCCTAATGTTGCCCACTCTTGCTGTTTCTTTTCCTTCTTCCCTCCCCCCTCTCTCCCTCCCCCTCTCCCTCCCCTCCTCCCTTTCTTCCCTCCCTCCTTTCTTTCTTCTTTCTTTTTCTTTCTTTCCTTCTTCTGTTGGTTGTGGAGCCTGAACTCTGGGCCTGGATGCTGTCCCTGAGCTCTTCAGCTCAAGGCTAGTGTTCTACCACTTGAACCACAGCACCACTTCTGTTTTTTTTCTGTTTATGTGGTGCTGAGGAATTGAACCCAGTACATGCAAGGCAAGCACTCTACCACTGAGCCACCTCCCCAGCCCTCTTGCTGTTTCTTGGGGGTGTCGATTCCTACTTAGGCCATTTGACTTGATGCTAGCCAACCCATGGTTCGCAGAATAGTCTTGGACTAGCAGCATGCAGGAACAGCACCAGCATGCAGCACCAGCATGCAGGAACAGCAGCAGTATGCAGCAGCAGCATGCAGGTGCATGCAGAAGCAGGAACAGTATGCAGGAGCTTGTTCTGACAGCAGGATCCTGGACCTCACCCAGGCCTGAGTCTGCTGAGTGAGAATCCCTGTTGAACAGGCCCTGGAACTCTACAGGGCCGGTGTGCAGCCCTCCAGGGGAGCTGGCACGTGCTAAAGCCTGACAGCTTCCCAAATGGGAAGCTTCTAAGGGGCAGGAACCCTACTTTCCTGTTCTCTCAGTACTTAGCCTGGGGCCCAGTCTTCAGTAGATGCTATGAGGCAGTTGTTGGGCGGATGGTGGGTAAAGGAATGAATGAGGAGGAACTTGAGTGAAACTCTACTAAGGACCTGTCCTTGTGTTGTTCTTGCTTCTACCGGCCTCCCAGGCCAGTGCCAAGGGCTGCAGGTATGCCAGGTGGCAGCAGATGGGGCCTACTTTGGAGACCTGTGCCCCACTCAGGGCAGCTACCTGTGGGTCCAGTACCAGTGCCAAGAAGGTGAGTCTCCAACTTGCATGGACTTTGAAATCATCTTATTTCTACTGTTTGTCTGGCTTCACCTGGGGTGGGGGGTGGGGGTGGGGCCAGTCTGCTCTGTGCCCAGGGACCTCCTCCCTCCAAACTGCTTTCTGCGCATCCTTGCCTCTCCCGTGTGGCCCAGCCTCTTGGAGTAAAGCATTTGTAGTTTCTATTGCAGAAGTTAACTCAAAAGCTAAGTGTCAAACCAAACAAAAAATCAACCCTAAGATCCTTCAAATCAAACCTCATGTGAAAGCCTCGCTTTCACAGGCTCGCGCCTGTCATCCTAGCTTCTCAGGAGGCTGAGATCTGAGGATTGCGGCTCGAAGCCAGCCCAGGCAGGAAGGTCTGTGAGACTCTTATCTCCATTGAATGACCAGAAAACAGGAAGTGGCACTGTGGCTCAAGTGGCAGCGCACTAGTCTTGAGCTGAAGAGCTGAGGGACAGCGCCCAGGTCCAAGACCCATGACTGAGCGCCCCCCCCCCAAATAAAACTGGTGAGGTGGAGTTCTGAGCGTAGGTTTTGAGGGCAACGTGAAGCTCTGCTCCACATCGACATAGCCATCTCACGTTGGCTTGCAGGTCTGCGGCTGGTGCTGCCCACGGAGAGTTTCATCTTTGACAATGTCACCCTCTCTCTAACGTGGCTCCTCTCACCCTACATTGGAAACCTGTCCTGTATGCTTAGCATGGGAGATGGACACACTTTGGATCCCTACTATCCTCCCAGGTAAGAGGAATCCGTGAGCCTTGAGTCAGTTTGGCCCCATCACAAGCTGCCCGGCAATACCTAGTGACTCAGAACAGCAGCTATTTCGCATGGTTCTTGGGAGGGCTGGGTGGCTCCTCGTGTTTGGGCTGACCATGCAGGTGCTGGATGGCCAAAGAAGGCCTTGCACCCTTGCCTGTCTAGTGGCTGGGGATATACACACCCCATAGGCTGGCCTCAGTTTGTTTCAGGGGCTGGGGGAGAGAAAGGTTCCTAGCAGGGACAGTGAACTGTTATGAATCAGGTTTTTGTCCAGGTGGATAGGTAACTGCCCCCTGGAGTACAGAGTACAGCACCCTCAAGTCCCAATGTGCACACCTGCTGCCTTTACCTGTGCCCTGCATCACCAGTGGATACTGGTGCACTCCTTATTCATTGCCCCATCCAAGTAACATACTTCCACCTATTTTAGAGATGTGCTAGACCTCGCAGCTACCCACAAAGCTGCTCCTGTCATCTTGTTGGAATAAGAGGGATGTGTCACAGGAGCGCCTCAGCACGGATTTTAAGTACACAGAAGCCACAAAATATCGCTGAGCTTTTCTCTCCCGTGTTTACAGTCTCCTACTTCTGTCGAATGCCTCACTAGTCTCAAGAGGTAGAGTTAAAAGCTGCATCCTTGTGTCCATCACAGTTACATACAAGGGCTGAGGAGGGGAACCCAGCCCCAAGTCGAAGCAGCCGGATAGAAAAGGCAGAGAATTCTGCTTTGGAATTGACCTTCTCACTTTGGATTTTCCATGCCTCGTGTCTGCTTGCTCTCTTGTTTCTCTGTCCTGGACACCTTTCTGCTGTCTGTACTATATGAACTATATGGAACAGTTTGCATGAGAAAAAAAAATGTGTTGGGCCCTGGGTCACTGAGCGCCATCTACTGGCAGATATGGGAGCTGACATTGCTCTGTCATTCCAGGGGTGTCTGTCCACAGCTGTCCTGGAGGGTGGGGCTTGTTAGGAAACCCAAGGGGGCACAAGTCTTAGAGTGACTCAGGTGTACACAGGCAATGGTCAGAGAGGACTCTAGAACGGAAGCACTTTGGGGTTGCTATTGGATTGAGGCAGGAGAGTGACTCTAGGGAACCAGCCGGCCTGAAGAAGCTCATACACTTCCTAACTGCAACCAGTTCCTTCCTCCTGGGCTGCAGGGACTGTGGGGATGTGAGAGATGTTGGAGAGCTTCACAGGCTCTGGGCAGGAAGGGTCTTGGATGTCAGCCAGTCTGAGGAGATGGTTCTGAGGAGAGGGTGTAGGTTGAGTACCAGGAAACAGACCCATTTGGAGTGCAGGAAGCAAGGTGCTAAGATGAGGTAGAGGGGAAGTCAGACTGAGTCCAGAAGCCACAGAGCCCGGGTGATCCCAGAGACGCCCTGAGCTGGGATGGCTCCCAGATTGCCTTCAATTGGGACCAGATAGGAAACATTTACACCCCGGCATCCGGCAGCCCCTGGGCAAAGGATATTACCTTGGGTGAGACAGCACTCTCTCCTGAGGCAGTGTCAGGACATGGGGTCCCCTGTGGGTCCTGGACGACGTGTGTTCAATGTGTTCAGGTGTGAAGGGTAGAGTCTGGGTGAGGCTCCACAGCATCCACTACAGAGGGGGAAAAGAAGAATCTTTAGGCCTGGGAACTGCGTGATTTATGTTGCTGATATCACTGATAGTGTCACTCAGGCTCACTGGACAATTTAAAGCGTATACGAAACTATAAGGAAAGAAATAGCTGGCAGACTAGATTCTAAAAAGGGGCAGGCAACTCTTACTATCTTATGAATGTTACAGGAAAGTATATAATCCTTTCCTTTCAATAGGTTAAGTGGCCTACAATGCCATCCTACGATACAGACCCTGTGACGTTTGGCTTTAGGACATAGCAGACTATTTCTTAGCCATTGGACCCTCTAAATCCTATTATAGCCCAGCCATGGTTGGGTCTGCCTTCATTTTGCGTTCTAGGGGGCCAAGGCCCAGAGAGCTTAGAGGAGATCCTGACTTACGCAGGTCCAGCACACATCAGGTTTCCAGTTCCCGCCCTTTCTGCTCTGCCTGACCTGTCAGATGGCTGCCTCCACCAACTTGGATGGCCACTGGTAGATGACATAAGAGAAAAGAACAGACTCTGGTGTTCTTTATATTTGGATGCTATCCACTAAGACCAGAAATACAAACTTTCTTTTCTCCTGTTTTTTCAAAGAAAATGTATAACCCAGTAAAGGCGAATATAGCAGCAATATGTGTGTGTATTTCAACATTTAATTGAAGTATGCAACCTTTGTACTAAAAAGTATAGGCTGAGGATGTAGCTCAGTAACAGAACCCTTACCTGGCCTGCACAAGGCCCTAGGTTTGATTTCCAGTACTGTAAACAACAACTAAAACAACATAACACAAAACAAACAACTCCATGAAGCTCAGTTCACTTTTCCCCAATGCTCACACTCAATTAACCAGCACCAACGTCAAGAAGGAACATGCCAGACCTCCTCAGAGCTTCCTGTGAGTATGGGGGCTTTAATACAGAAAGGAGTCCAGAGAGGGGTAAGAGTTGACTTGTGTGAACCCCTGTTTTCATCTTTGTGGGTATGTATATGTGAGTGTGTATGTAATGTTTGTTTGTCCCCGATGACAATAACATTTCTGACTGTGGCTGGCAGTGTGTCCAGTCGTGTGACCCACCAGTACACATCTCCAGGAGAATTCACTGTGTTTGTTGAGTGCACAACAAGCGAGTGGCACGTAACAGCTCAGAAGCAAGTGACTGTCCGAGACAACATGGGAAGGCTGAGCGTCACCGGGTGTGCTGGCCTGTTCCACTCTAGAGCCAGCCCCGTCTGCCAGGCTGTCTTTGGGGATCCCCTGTGGCTTCAGGTGGAGCTTGATGGAGGTGAGCATGCAGAATTCAAATGGCAGAATCTGATTTCTTGCAAGTCCATTTGGCTAACTCCCAGGACTTAATGAAGTGTAACAGCCAGCCCTTACTGAGTTGGCATTTCGGCTGTCATCTATCCATTTATTTAGCACTTAGGAGTAATATTCACTGTTTGAAGTGTTGTGGCTACACTAGAACATACTGGATATGTTAGCATTACGTCCATGTTATTGATGGAAAAATGGAGGCACAGAAGGTTGAGAAACTCGCCAAAGGCACAGTCTCATAAGCCAGTGAGAACTCCCAGCCCTCCGGAGGGTCTTTTTTGAATGTCCATAGTCCTGACACAGGAACTGAACTTCTAATCATCTTGCCGTTGGGGGAGTAGCCCTCTCAGGCCTAGCAGCTGGACCTGAGTCCATCTGAGTATGGCTTGGCATAATCACGTCGCCCCCAGTCAGGGATAATATCCAGCCATACACTCTGGGACAGCCACACCAGCTGCTATGGCCAGGGTCCATTCTGATGGGTCACAGTGTCTCTTTCTAATTGGTCACAGAGGCCATGTTGACTAGGCATCATATCCATTCTGATTGGCCAGTGTGTCCATTCTTATTGGTCATGGCACACACTCTGATCGGTCATGGTATCTTATCTGATTTGTTATATAATTCATTCTGATTGGCCAGTGTCCATGCAGATTCCTCAGGGCATTTATCCTAATTGATCAGTACACAGTTTCAGATATTATTTTTAAACAAAACAATTTCTCTCAATAGAGATCTTGGCTGAGACCCCTCCTCATCCAGGACAGCATCTTTCCAAGAGGAGCAGGTCTAGTTTGGGATCTGGACCAAGACCTGCTGATATAACTGGCTCAGCTCAGTGCCATGGAAATGATGACTTGGTCTAGAACCTCACTCTAGCAGTCACTTAATGGCACAGCACTCTCGAGACTCCTTTTCTTTCTTGTTGACTCCTTGTGCTTGTTGACTGCACATGGCTGCTAAGTGCAATTGGGGAAACTTAAGCCTTATTCATTTATTCTGTTCACAAATATCATTAAGTTCCAACTCTTTGCCAAGGGTGTGAAAGTTAGGGCTCCTGCTTACATTTCCATCCGCCTCCTCCATCTCTTTATCATCACCATGGAAACAAGAAATACACTAGCTTGGTTTGTATTGAAAAGAATATTTATGTGTTATTGAAAATATCTGATTTTCTGAGGCAACCAAAATAGTGAACATCCAGTTAGGACGACCTTTTGCAGACTGGGAACCCCCACTTCTGGAGAACAGGCTGAGTTCTCATGTTATCAGGTTCTAGGCCGTCACCAGTACAGATGGAACTGCTGAAAATAAGTCTGAGGCTCATTCTCATGGTGGAAATCAGCCCTCCTCAGAGATGCTGTCTTTTCTGAGGATATCCCAGTCAACAAAATGTTCCAATGTTTTCGTTACAAACTATTAGGTTCACATGCACAGTATGAATTAGAATATGAAAATAAGCAGAGAGGATCCCAAAAGGAAAAAAAAAACCACTAATCCAAGACTCAACATAATCTCTGTGAACATCTGGGGAGAGCCAGATTGCTTCCATGTGCCTTTAAAATTTTTTTTTCTTTTCTTATTTTTTTGTGTGCTGATATTGAGACTTGCACTCAGTGACTCACATTCTCACTTAGCTTTTCTACTCAAGGCTGGTGCTCTACCACTTAAGCCATACCTCCACTTCTGGAATTTTGCTAGTTAATTGGAGCTAAGGGTCTCTTAGATATGTCTGTGTAGGCTGGCTTTGAACTAGGATCCTCAGATCTCAGCCTCCTGGGAAGCTAAGATTGCAAGTGTGAGCCACTCGAGCCTGGCCCTTCCCTATTTCCTTAAATCTGTGTACATGTTTATAACCAGAATCTGAAAGTAGAGCTTGAGTCTGAATTATCACAGTGTCATCACCTGTATAATTGTTGACAGCCTTTTTACAATTTTATTTTTACCCCATGTAGGGACAGGGGTGACTTACACTGTGCTCTGGGATAACATAACTCTGGCTGAGTTTGCCACCCAAAAGGGCTCGATGCCCCACAATCTCACGCTGACCAGAGAAACGCAGGAGCTCATGGGTCCAGGGACGCACCTCCTAGAGATCCAGGCCATCAGCAATGGCACCACCTCCGCATCTTCTGGAAACGTCACGGTCCACTTTGTGGAGTTATTATCGGGGCTGCAGGCCTCCTGGACTTCCGACCACATGCAGCTCGGCCAGGACTTACTGATCAATGTCTCAGTGGCTCACGGCATCCCTGATGAGCTAACCTTTGAGGTGGTGGGACTCGATGTAAAGTTCTCCCAGAAGGAAGAGCACACTGGAGAGCTCCCTGGGACTTACCCTGTAGTGCTTCCTGTTGAAGGTATCTGGGATTGATTGGTGGTGCCTCTTCAACCCTGGCCCTCTTCCCTTTCTGACCCAGTGCCAGGCAGCATTTCAGTGTGGTTCAGGTCCTCCCAGGTCTTACTTAGTGCCCCTGCTTGGGTCCTCCCTTCCTTCCCCGTGTGGAGGAGACATCTGTCTTTACAGGGCCTGCAGCTGTGGGCTTCTCAATATGGTGTCCAGAACTTAGTGAACAGGAAAATATACTCAATACACACCCTGGAATCTGGATTTTGCTTTCTACCACCGATGGGAAAATTATTCAGTAAGAGGAGTTTAAACCTTACTGACTGCCAAAAATCTCTACTGTCCTGTGCCTTTTTTTTTTTCTTCTCATTCTCAGGTTACAGGTTTCTCCCACTAAGACAAATAGACCTGGGCCACTGCAGAGAAAACGGGAGCTGGAGGGAGGAGCGAGGGGATGGAGTGGGCCATTCGCACTTGGTGGGGCGGGCTCTGTGCTGGCTGGCTTGGTTTGGGCTGGCTGGCTGGCAGATGTGTGAAGCTGCCTCTTCTGGGAGGTCTGTGGGCTGGGCCACAGCGCCCAGAACAGGGCAGAGCTTCCCAGTCAACTGGGCACATCTGTCCCACAGCTGTCTCTCCTGGTCTCTCCCTATTCTCTCTGCTGAATCTTCTCATTCTCTCTGACCTCCCATACGGCCTCCTTTCCCTCAGGCTCACCTCCGACGCTTGGAAAAATCTTCCCCGTTCTTGGCCCACTGGAAGCCGACTGTGGTTACTTGCAGACACAAGTGCAGGCATGGCAGCCTTTCCTTCCCTTCCTCCTCCCCCACCTCCACCACAGGCAGCTCCTCCTGCCTGTCACAGGGTCCCCAACCTCGAAGGAAGGGTCCCCTTGGAAGACCTCTCCAGGAAGTCCTCCACTGCCACCCCTCTCCCCCACATGGATTAGCTGCCCTCTCCAAATAAAAACCTTCCAAACCTCTCTCCCCCTCTACTCTGGCAATCCTTTTTAACATTTTTGGACTCGTGACCTGGAGTTTGAGGACAGGACTGGAGAACAAGAAATTGCCAGCACTGAAGACATGATGTTGAGAGGGCCTGAGCCCTTTCTTCTGCTTCCATGCATCACAGAGAACAGGACTGTGTGCCTGGTCCCTGCCTGAAACGGAGGGCCAATCATGCAATCATACCACACTGTTTTCTCTGCAGAAATCACCACTCTAATTTGATTAATGAGCATCGACCTATTCACCTTTGAAACGCAGCTCTGCAGCTCTATTCCTGCTCCATCCACAGCATTTCCCTCTCTCCTGAGGTTGAAGTGACCCCAGCCCATACCTGTGATGTCCCCATGCCAATTCCTGCCAGGGTGTGGCACTTACTGTCCAAGTCTACTACTTGTGATGGTCCTGGAGCACAGAGACTGTGTTCCTTCATCTCCATGTCCCCAGAGACTGGGCCACGCTTAATCAATGCTGGGAGGGTCAGAGACTCAGCAGCGGTCCTCGGTTTACAGGAAGAAGCCTCACTGGGGAGAGTAGACTCAATGTAGGTTCAATAGTTAACAACAGCACTATCACGCTCACCTTTCACCTTTTTGCATTGCAGGTACCTTTCTGGTCACTGTGTTGGTACGGAACACCTTCTCAAACTTGAGCTTGGAGGTCGGGAACATCACTGTCACAGGCAAGGCGTTTGTGTTACAGGGAGTCTCGTGCATGGAGGTAGCTTAGGGTCTAGAGAGTGGCTCTTCCTATAGGCCTCTGAATACAGTCTCATGCTCCAGATACCCACAATTCCATTTAAAGAGGCAACAATCAAAAATATTAGAAATATCCATCCCTACTGCACATGTGCTTTATTCTCTTCATTATTCTCTAACCAACACAATGCAGCAGCTCTTCACATAGCACTTTCATTATTCTGGCTATTTTAAGTAATCTCGAGGTGATTTAAAGTCTATGGAATGGGCTGGGGTGTTACTCAGTGGTAGATTGCTTGCCTGTCACATGAGAGGCCCTAGGTTTCAATACTAGCGCTGAAAAAAAAACCCAACAAAATATGCCTACAAAATGATAGACATCCATTATATGCAAAAGACTTTGCAATTTTATATAAAGGACTTGCGCATCCTCAGACTTGAGTATCCATAGGGGATCCTGGAACCAATCTACCTCAGGTTCTGGGGGACAATTATAGGGTGAAACTTTCAACCACTGACATGGAATTCTAAAAGTTTGTATTCATTATGTATTTTGTTCGTATTCTTATGACATTTTAGATTGGAAAGAACAGAAAGTCAGGCTGGGAATGTAGCTTAGTGGTAGAGTGCTTGCCTAGCACGCATGAAGCCCTGGGTTTGATTCCTCAGTATCACATAAACAGAAAAAGCCAGAAGTGGTGCTGTGGCTGAAGTGGTAGAGTGCTAGCCTTGAGCAAAAGAAGCTCAGGGACAGCGCCCAGTCCCTGAGTTCAAGCCCCAGGACTGGCAA